AGTGGTTGCCCCCCCCCCCCCCCATATAGAAGGGCTTCTTTCTCCTTACAAGCTCATCACCGTTTGTTGGTTTTTGTGTTCTTGATGATGATTATTTTTTCTGGAGTAAGATGGAATCTTGGTATTGTTTCCTTCTGCATTTCTTTCATAGCCCAAGATGCAGAATATTTTCTCATTACTTATTTTCTATTGGTAGTTCTTCTTTTCAGAAGTGTCTGTTCATTTCAGTTCCCCATTGTTTTGATTGGGTCTTTTGTTTGGGGAAGTTTTTTGTTGCTGTTGTTCTTTACACATTCTATGTATTAGTCCTCTGTTTGAGGAGTAGCTGGAAAAAAAATACTTTCCTATTCTGTAGTTTGTCTCTTCACTATGTATGTTGTTTCCTTTGCTCTACCAGGAGCTTTTTAATTTGATGTAATCCCATTTCTTCATTCTTGGTATATTTTGTGCAATTAGAGTTCTGTTCAGAAAAACCTTCCTGTGCCTATGTCTTCAAGAGTTTTACCTGTAAAACTGAACCAAATGCAATGGTTAGATTTAATGTTGACCTTGTAGGGAAATTTGATTTGGTTCTCATCCAGTTCAGTTTGTGACCAGAATCATGGTGAGAATTGGGTTTGTGAACCAAGGTACCACTGTATAATATCTTCCAGCTGATTTAGTGTTTTTGTTTTTACATCTAGGCTTTTGATCCATTTTGATTTGATTTCAGTACAGAGTGAGTGGTATGGATCTGCATTCATTTATCTGCATGTGGATAACCAGTCTTCCCAGGACTGTTTGTTAAAGAGGCTGTCTTTTCCTCTGGTGCTTTTGGCTCTTTGTCAAGATCAGATGACTAATGGTATATGGGGTTGTTTTGTGTTTTCTCTTCTATTTCATTGCCCTACACATCTGTCTTTATGCTAATGCCATTCTAGTTTTAGTTCTGTAGTTTTGTGGTAGAACTTGAAATCTGGGGTTGTAATGCCTCCTACTTTACTCTTTTTGCTCAGAATTGCTTTGGCTATCCTGGGTCTTTTCTGGTTCTATATAAATTTTAGGATTGTTTTTTCTAATTCTGTGAAGAGTGTTGTTGGAAATTTGATTTGAAATGCAACACACACACACACACACACACGCATGCAGGAACAGGGGATGTCTTTCCATTTTCTAATGTCCTCTTCAATCTCTGTTTCTAAGAGTACTACCGTTTTCATTTTAGTCTTTTACTTCTTTGGTTAGGTTGATTCCTAGGTATTTAAATTTTTTGGCAGCTATGGTGAATAAGATTGTTTTCCTGATTTCTTTCTCAGTAGGTTCATTGCCAATGTACAGGAACACTACTGAATTTTTGTGTTGATTTAGTATCTTAACACTTTGCTGAATTTGTTTATTAGCTCTAAAAATCTTTGGGTGAAGTTATTTTTTGGATCATCTATGTAAAAGATCATGTCAGATGCGAATAAGGATCCTTTTATTTCTTCTTTTTGTCTGATTTCTCTTGAGTCTTTTTTTGTTTTATTCATTGTTTACATTTTATTTCTTTGATTGTGCTCTTTATTTTTCCCCGCTTCATTTCCTTTGAGAAGAGTCTATGCTTTCTTTTTTCTCAATGAAATTTAGATTTTAGGCCTTTCTTTTCCACCATAAACATTTAAAGCTGCTAAACTATAAATGCTTATATTAAATTTTTATATTTAAAAGTTGCAACTATTCTCAAATTTTGGTGTGTGGCATTTAATTGTCACTTATTTTGCTATATCGTTAAATTTCCCCTTTGTTTTCTTCTTTGACTATGAGTAACTTAGAAATATATTGCTTAATTTCTATGTATCTTTTTATTGATTTCTGATTAATTTTTTACATTTTTTTGGTTCAGAGATTATAAACTATATGTTTTTACTCTTAAAATTTATTGAGGCTTGTTTTAGGGTCACTAGGAAAAAAGTATATATTTTTAATATTTTTTGTAAACTGTAAATGGCAATTAGGTCTGATTAGTTAATAGTAGTGTTTTTTATAATGCTCTTATTCATTTTTGTTTCTTATGTTATCAGTTTTTTACAGTCAGGTGTTAAAATTCCAGTAATCATTATAGTTTTATCTACTTTTCCTTTTAAAATATTCCATATTTGCTCATGAACATTTTTATTTAACTAGTATTTTATTGATATCTCATGGATTCAATGGTTCATCTCTCTGATGATATTAAGTACACTTTCTTTGGAGTTTTCTTCAATATCCTGTATTATATCTCTCCCTTGAGTTCTATTTTTGTTCTGGGCTGCAGCTTTTTGTTTGCTATCTTTCATGTTAGAAGCTTTCCTCCAAGGCTGTTCATAAATATGATGCACAAAAATGTGTATTGGAACTTGTGTTCATGGTGACTTGATAAAGAGGATCTGGCTCTTTTGTTGGGGACTAGCAAGTGTCATTATTTATATCAGAGTTGTGCTGCTCTATTGATTTATAGTCACAATCCTATTGTTCTTTCTGGGACCCAAGTATCTAAGAGGGACTGAAGTTTCAAACATTTGGAGTGATACTTTCATTGAAACCCCATTTTTCAACAGAGCATTCACTTCACAGTGTTTCGACTATATCTTAAAGGCCTAATTTGAAATAGTTCTTGGAGGTATATTTTCTCAATGGCTGCCGCAAAGCTTGGTTAAGTAAACTTCTGGTTCCTAGGGAAGGAGTGTGTTGATTATAATACATGCTTATAGTGAATACTCCTCTTGTTACTCCAGTTCCTTTACCAACATTTATGGGTAAACAGTGAGGCCAATTTTCCACCCTTTCCAGATTTTTATAATGGAAATCAACTTGATTTTCATTGAATTTTTTGTTACAAGATTAACCTTGACTATTTCATCACTACCCAGTTTTGTTAGCTAACACAAATAGGAAGGATTGGATGTCTTGGCTTACAGGGCTAGAATTTTCTATTTGTTTGGGTGCATTACTTATTTATATTCTTTGCTCGTACATATTGATTGTTTAATTGCTTTCTGACTTTGTTCAACTTTTGCAAACCCTTAAAATTTTGGCACAATGAACCTGCCAACCTATCCCTGTAAGATTTATGTTTTCATTTTAAGAACTCTTTCCCTATGCCAAAGTCATAAAACAAAAATAAAACAAAAATACAAGCAATTTAAAATTTGCTGTTTTTCTTTTAGCTATTTGATTCACATAGAACATATTTCTGTATATGATTTAGATAAAGAAATAATTGTATTTTTTTCCTGAATGGTAGGTCAGTTTTTCTAGGATCATTTAAATCATCTCTGTTTCCCATAGATGTTACCTTATTTTTTCACTTACTTGAAATCATTGCTGTTCTCCCTTTAGGACCAAACATACTAAAATTGAAATCACTGCTAGATTCCCCATGGTCTAGAATAATAGCTGCTCGGGACAGGAGTGCTCTAAGATCAACCGACAAGAACGTGCAGATCGTTTTGTGGTCCCCCTTCAAGTTCCAGCGTGACCTTCTCCATCGGGTCCCAGCACAACCTCAGGGACAGTGTCCTAGACCATGTTCTCCCCAAGCACCCATTCCTGCCTCCCGATGCTGTGACGGCACAATTCTGGTAATGTGTGTCTTCTTTTTTAAAAAACAGCTTTATTGAGGTAAAGCTAATATAGAAAAGAATCTATTAAATATGCACAATTTTATGAGTTTGGAAATAAGCGTACACTTGTGAGGCCTTTGCCACAGTAGTAATAAGCATAATCTGTCGCTCCCAAAAGTCGAGGTAATAAGCATATCCAAAAGTTCCCTCCTGTACCCCAACCCCTCACCTTCTTGTGGGAAGAATCCTTAATACAAGATCTACTCTGTCAACAAATTCTTAGTATATAATAAATTACTGTTGACTATAGGCATGATGTTTTATAGCAGGTCTCTAGAACTTATTTATCTCATAGAACCGAAACTTTATACTCACTGAACAACTCAGTTCCCCTTCCCCCAGCCTCTGGAAACCACCATTTTACTCTGCTTCTGAGTTTAATGATTTTAGATTTCACGTAAAAGTGAGATTATACAGTATTTGTCTTTTTGTGTTTGGCTTATTTCACTTAGTATGATGTCTTCCAGATTCATTTGTGTTATTGCATATAAAAGGGTTTCCTGTTTTTCATTAAGGCTGTACCATATTGCACTGTATGTATATAATATATTTCATTCACTTGTTCATGAACATTTTAGTTGTTCCATATCTTGGCTATTATGCATAATGCTGCAAAGCGGATCTTTCTTCAAGATTGTGATCTCAATTCTTTTGGATATGTATATAGAAGTAGGATTGCTGAATCTTATGGTAGTTCTATTTTTAATGTTTTAAAGGAAACTGTACTGCCTTCCATAGTGGCTATGCCACATGACATTCCCATGAACAAGGTAAAAGGTTCTAATTAATTTACATCCTTGCCAAGCCAATCTCTCTCTCTCTCTCCAGATAAATACAGGGTGGGCAATGTCACTAGTGACCACAGCAACGCAAATCTAAAGTGAAGTGAGATGCTGCCCTGCACCTATTGAGATGGTTATTACACATGCATCTTGCCTGCCTGGCTCTGAGCTCTCAGTCCCCATCTTTATCCCCATTACCTGGCTAGCATGGGGCTCATTTGTCAAATAAATGTCTTAGATTGTTTTCCCCTACATTTGGCCTACGTATGATTTTAAAAGGGCTTTAAAGCTATGAAAGAATGAAACAAAGAAAATTAAACTATGTATTGAATTCCCTTCTTCAATACTCAGTCCCAGAAAATATTATAACATTTAATTACATATTTGCTTTCATTTAAGTTAGCACAGCTATAAATCACAAAGGTTCAATAAAGGCAAATGTGCTTAGCTAGAACAAATATTACAAAGGATGAAAATAAATATACAAATATACTAATCATATGAAATATAGATTACTTTATAAAAATGTGTGTATACACACATGATAATGGACTATATTGGATAGTAGAGTATATTTGACGTTTCCTTAATAATTAGATTTAATTGATTATAGCTATTATGTGTTATCCTCACATTGCCAAGAGAGGAAGTTTTCTGTAAGTTGGGAAAAATTTAAAATGTTCTGATTCAGGACTTTTGACACAATCTCATAGGAAGTTCACAAAATATTTAATGTTGGCCTAACTCAATAAACACTCAGTGATGAGTTAAAGGAAAATACGATAGGGTGATGGGAAAACAATTTGGATTGCCTCATTCATCTGTATCCTTATTTGTCATCTGTCTTTCTCAATTATTCACTCCTTCATTTCCAACATCTACAGTAGCACCTAGCAATGAATACACATGCAGCATGCAAACAAGTGCCATACCAATACTTCACTAAAGATGACCGAGACATAGATTCAGGATGGGCATTATTTAGTTCAAAAGAAAATATGGCATGCATCAATGCCATAATCAAATGAAACTAAAATTCCACTACTTTGTTGAGGCTAAGTATCCAGTGACACCTTTAGACTGAAAATGAGATAATACTTGAAGAGAGAAGAAAACAGTTTGGAATTTGTGCCTGCAAAAATCATATCATTGAATTTTCCATAACAGATCCAATAAAGCAGATAGACAGAAAATAGAAGAATTATGTGTGAGAATCTTGGTTCTTGTCACAGCCATCCATTGTAAGATTTTGGCCAGGGAGACACAATTTCTGCAATTATAAATTGTGTTCAGAGTATCTTCTTTATACAACTCGTCAGAATTGAATACAGTTAAAATTTATGTATCCTGTTCTTTGATGATCCATTATCAGCAAAATGTTCTGACTACAATCAACACCGAAAGCAGGAAAACAGGAACGTTGCTGAGGCAAGTGTGGAGGGGGAGACTTGGGTCTCCCTCAGAAGAACTTGCTGAGCAGTGTGGCAGCTGATGCCTCCTGGGTGGCACACTTGGGGTCTGCCACACACCTGAAGGACATGTTTTCTTCCACATGGAAGGGGGCTGAAGCCTGGCCATTTCTGCCCAGTGTGTGACGCTCCTCTGTGGATAATCTTGGAACACACCAAGGACCAGCCAAGACTCTCCCAGAGCTGCTGCTTAGACCTAAGCTTTCATACACTGTACCTCCACTTCCCTCTCTCTCTGCACAAGTGGCATCCTGAAGCGTCTCTGCCTGCTTCTGTTCATCCTCCTCTTCATCTAGCTGTAGAAGGGCAGGCTCGCCATGAAACTCTCCTCTCCTCATCTAACCTGGACACTTTCCACTGACTCCGCAGAGCATCTAAACAGGTGTTTGGGGGCAGATGCTAAGAGCTCCTCCCAGAGAGCTCATTGTCTCCTCTTTTAGAGAAAATCCTGGACATTGTGTTGGTCTCGTTGGATTTGCTTGCCTTTTACTTCTATTTTATTTCTGCGTTAAAATTTCAATTTCATGAATGCTCCATGAATTTAAGCCTTGGTAACATTTGAAATCACGGTGCACCATTCATTTCAATTGTATCTTTTTTTTTTTTTACCAAACTTACTCCACTATGAGAATTTATTTGTTTTAAGGGGGATAAGTCTGTGTTTTCAAATTGTTTCTCTTGCTCTTTTCAAATCCAGCTTTTCTACTTGGCTGTAAAATTCCACAGGGCGCAGAACATGCCTGGGAAGCCACACTTACATGGAACCAGGCAAGAAGGGACAGTCTAGGCTCACTTCTTATATCGAGCAGATCAGTAACTTCATTGAGCCTCCTCTTCCTCATCTGTCTTACAAAACAGAAACAAAATCAAATCTTCACCTTAAAGGTAGACACTACCCAACATCTCTCTGTAAGCTTACTGCAAGAATCAACACTTAACTGCCTTACGGTCGGACTGGGCTATCATCTGCTGAGTTCCTTTCTGTGAATTTGATACTTGCATTTGGCTTAAAGTTACTGTGAGCAGAATATGCATACCACAGAGAAAGTATTTCTAACTTTTGGTGTTAAGTTGATATTCACAAATTCTCATTTCTCTTTCCATATTCCTTCCCTACAATTGAATTTCCAGAATCACAAATTAGACAGAGCCAACATGTGTCGACATCTCTGGCAGAAGGAATCATTCAAATGCCTTCAGTGCATGAACTCAGGGAGGCTGTGCTGGGCTGCAGAGGGCACAGGGTTGGGGATCTCTCCTAGACTTATGACACCAGGTACAAACATTTAAGCACCAACTTCTTGTGACCTCTGCTGCTCATCTGTAATGTGAGCCTAAGTACCGTATTTGTAGCTTTTTGTTTAGAAAATACTTTTGAAAACCTGGTTTTTATTTTCGGATGTTACAAGTATCTCTTCTGTACTTTCAACTTTCAAAATCATGATTGATTTCTCAATTTGCATTACAGAATATTTTTCTTTTACATGAAGTCAACAAAGTCATCGCTTGAAGATTCATACAGTGATTTTCTGGAATAAATGCAGCATGATATAAACTCCACTGAGCTGAGGACAAACAGAAAAGCAGGCTACCAAGGCGAGAAGCGCCTGGCAAGAGGGAGTGGCTGGGTGAGGTAGCATTGCTCCCTGCGGACGCCACTCTTGTCTTTCCCGTCGATGAGTGTAATAGGAAAACACTTGTAGTGTTCAATGATGTCTTCCACGGAATCAAACTTCTGAAACACAGAAAGGAATGGGAATGATTTTAACATAATTTTGTCTGCTGTTATACACTCTGTTTCACTCAGGGACAAGATGAACTCACTTCCTGATGTTTGTCTTTTCAGAGAGTGACTTTTCTTTATAAGGATGTAGCAAACAAGCCCTTAAAGGATGGATGAATGCTATGAATAAGAAGATGACAGGGAAAAAAAAAGGAGCTCATGGAGATCAACCATGAGGCCGATGGCAACTCCTACTTTTCCTATCGATGGAGTCTCCCCCAGAATCAGACCACGTGGGTCATGGTCTACCACCACCTTTCCGTCTGAAGCCCCTCAGATGGGTTAATTAGCAGCAAGCAGCCCCTTGGACCCCTGCTGCCTCCCCAGACGTGCCCCTAACTGTGACCAGCCCAAATGGAGACAAGGCAGGCTTGAACTTAGTAAATTGGTTGGAAGTGCCCCGTTGAGCTTCTGCCTGCACATCCTCTGTTCTAATGAGTCCTATTGCCCACAGAAGGAACAGTGACAGCCACAGGGCTGCTCATCCCTAGCCAATTTGGCTCTATTCCTGGGGCTTCTTCTGAAATAATGAAGTGACTGCAGATTTCACATTGCTAGAGATACGAATGGAGAGCTACAGCGATTTGATAAAAAGTAAGATTATTTCAGGTCTAGGGGAGCCAGGAAGTTCTTTGTCCGGGGTATAAACTTGGACTTCCTGTTATGTGTGCCACTAAATAAGCAGACAAGGAAGGTTAAAAGATATTAAAAGCAAAACATGGATGAGTACAGGTGTTGGGAAGACCCAAGCACAGAGGGTAATTCTTGGATGTGCTCCTGAAGGGACATCTTGGGAGGTAATTAGGAAGATCTTGCTCCATCTGCTACCCATACCTTAAGACAACCTTGATCCTCCCTCACAAGCTTGTGAGGTGCTGGGAAGGTAGAATTATTGGGAACTGCAGCCCGGAGAAGCAGATTGACTGGCCTAGAGTCACACAGCCAGGGGTAGGGGCAGGAACGGAGCCGCTTTCCATTTCAGGACAGAATCCAAGGCTGTGACCTCTGGGGTTCCCACAGAATAGGGGAGAGGGTGGTGCAGCCTGAAGGAAGGGAGCCACAGTGAGAGCCACAGTGATTCTGAGAGTTGTGTCCATTTCTCCCTTTGCCCAGGACATGGCAGGTGCAGAAATACTGGAAGGCCTCAGGGCTGCCTAGCAGGGAATGAGACTGTCGAGATCCTGGTCCACATGGAGATCACTGCCTTCTGGAGGCAGACAGAACATGATTTCCTATGCAGACAGAACATGATTTCCTATGCAAATAGGTCCTTTCACTGAGGGGTACGGGCTGCGAAAGTGAGTGACTCGGGCTTGACACCCTTACCAACCCACCCAGCCTTCCCCGGGCGGCGTCTGGCTGCCGGGGGACGTTCTTTTTGGTTAAGGGAGCACTATATTGAAACCAAGAACTCAGCAGCGGCCAAGGCCACCTTCTCCTTCCTCCCAGGCCAAGAGTGTACAGTGCAAATATGCACCACACTGGGGGCAGAAATGGGAAAGGGAAGTGGAAGAGGGGTCTTGCCATGAGCCAGTCCACCTGCTCCACTCCTGTCCCTCCTGTCACTGGAGCCAGCACAGCTTCCCTCTTCTGAAGCTTGCCAGAGTTGGGCTGTGTCTTTTTGTACCAAAGTGGAGCTGATTCAGTCTGCGACTGACTTACCTCCGCTGACCTTACACTGGCTCTATGGACGAGTTTTCCGCCAGATAAGCTATGTTTCAGCCTGTCTTAGTCTGTTCAGGGTGCTATAACAAAATATTTTAAACTACATGGCTTATGAAAAACAGAAACTTGTTTCTCAAAGTTCCCAAGGCTGGGAAGTTTAAGAGCAATGCAGATTCCATGCGTGGCAAAGGCCCATTTCCTAGATAGATGGCACCCTTCATTGTGATCTCGTGTGGTGGGAAGGATGAGGCTCTCTGGGGTCTCTTTAATAAGGACCCCAAGCCCATTTGAGGGCCCCACCTTCCAACGGCCTCACTTCCTAATCCATCAGCTTGGGATGTTGTGATTTCACCATGTGAATTTGGGGGATACCCATATTCAGATCATAGCACCATTCCTTTAGGTGTATACTATGTAAGACTTCCTATCTGATGCTAAGGTAAGATGGTTTCTTAATTGTCCAGTGGGGACAATAGTTGTTCACCACAGCACATATTCGTAAGTGAATTACTCCATAGTCAAAGTATCTGAGTTCAAAGGCTTCTACCTATCAGCTGTGTGACCTGGAGCAAATGTCTTATACTCTCTGCATCCCAGCTTCTCTGTCTATGAACAATGATGGTAATAGTAGGGCATCCTGACAAGGTTCGCTGTGTGCATTAGTGGGACTGATACATAGACAGCATTTACAACAAAGCATAGCCTATGTTCCAGCCTACAGGGTATGCTCCATAGAATCAGGAGTGATCATTCCTTTTTTTCTCCTAGGTTTGCCAAGAATACCCTGTGAGAGAATGCAATGTCAGAGGAGTTTCTAGACTATTCCTGTTAGCTTTTAGGAGAAAGGGGTTTGTGCAATTACAAACCAAGGGCAAATTAATTTGCTCTTTATTTATACTTGAAACAAAAATGGATTAACAGAAAGAAACTTTTCAGGCAGAGCTCTTCCACAAAATTGCTTAACAGTGCTAAAAGGAAATCTCCTTTTTTTGGTATCAGTCTTCAGGGGGAAAATGCTTATTTCTTATTCTTATTTCTATTTTTCATTAGGATTGTCCTCAAATAATGAATTCAGTATTAATTGTTTTAATCATCTGCTACATGGATGATATTTTATTTGAAATTATAATTTTAATAAGTAGTGTGAAGCCAGGCAAGTGCAATTAATCATGCTGTCACTTATTATTGGTGGCTAGGGATGTGCCCACAGCAGAAACATTGCCTTAAAGAGACTTTCAAAAAAAGATTATAATTAAGCTCTTATTTTTATATTGATTATGTTTTAAGGGGACAGCAAATGTCATCCTAATATTAGATCTTAAGTCTGTTTAAACCCTTTGTATTCATTTTATATACATAGTGTAGGCAATGGTACCTTTTTCTTTGCCAGAAAAGTAAATAGAAATGGTCAGGTACACACATAGGTGTACAATAAGGAAACAGAGAGAGAGAGAGAGAGAGAGAGAGAGAGAGAGAGAGAGAGAGAGAGAGAGAAAGAGAGAGATGGGAGAAGAAGCAGATGGAAGTGAGAAACTTGGGGTTCATTGTTCATCTCTGTCTCGCAGTCTTTAAAGTTTAATTTAGCACGCAAAAGTCTAACTTCTAGAAACTTATCATCAACAGTCTCATAGTGAGGAAATGTCTGGTAGTTGACATTGCTCTCTTCTCTGAGCTTCCCAGAAATGCAGACAGACATAACTATAATCTTGAGTGCAGGGCTGGTGGTGGCAGCAGGTGGCCCAAAGCAGGTTTTTGTCATGGTTACTGCTGCTGAGGTGCCTGCAGAGTCAGACACAGAGGTTTAAGGTAACCCCTGGGGGGCAGGGACTCTACCTACTCCATTCCTTGTTTCCTGAATGGAACATGCATAAAATGTAGACATAAAATCAATGGTTGGCCAATAAATGAGTAATTGAGCATAGTGGGCTGAATAGCACCTCTCATTAATATGTCTGTATATTAATCCCAGAATCTGGGAATACTCCCTTACATATTAAAAGAGTAAATATAATTTTATTTGGTGAAATATGGAATGAAGTGAAGAGTCTGGAGAGGAGAAGCTTATCCCGGTCACCCTGGTGGGCCCTAGGAGCAATCTTGTGTATCCTTAGAAGAAAGGAGCAGTGGGAGATTTTAATCAGAGAAGAGGAGGCAACGTGACCACAGGGGAGGGACTGAAGAGGTGGTCACAAGCTAAGGAAGCTGAGGATGGCCGGAGCCACCAGGTTCTCCTCCAGAGCCCCCAGAGGGAGCATCTCTCTGCTGGAGCCTTGGTTTTTTATTTCTGCCCTCTAGACCCGTGGGAGAATAAATTTCTCTTGTTTTTGAGCCATCCAATGGATAATGACAGTAGTGTCAAAGACTAATCCAGTGGGAGATCCCTAAATCTGAAGTTAGGCAGGAATTTCTAGCCATTTGGCTAATTGAATGATCCAAGCATCTTACCATGCAGCCAAGTAGAGCTTCCCAGTCTTTGCTTGTGGACGGGTGTTATGGTTTGGGTGTAGATGTCCCCCTAAAGCCTCATGTGGTCATAGGCTTGATCTAGAGTGTGAAGCTGGGATTGATTCATGCTGCAATGCTAGGCTCAAGGGCACTAGGATTAAGGGTGTGAGTGCTGCCTGCCCTAAAGTAGCCTGAATATGATAAAAGGGGCAGAGAGATGCTGGTAACACCCCCTGTGGCCTTTGCTGCCTTGTGCGCACCGTGGTGTTTCTCCTCTGCAATGCCTCTTTGCCATCCCTGCCTTGGAGCCAGCTGATTATGGAGTGAAAACTTCTACAAACTGTAAGCCAAATAAACCGCCTTCCCTTCCAACTTTTTGGGTATTTTGTCTGAGCAACGAGAGAAAAGTAACACAACAGGGAGTGGGTTTGCTCTCTCTGTGTGCTGGTGAGGGATGTGGGTGCTCACAGCCTTCCCTGGGGCCAAGCCTGGCCTTCTTCTGCAGCCCTCAGGGTTCTCCCTATGCCTGGGGCACATGGTCTTGAGGAAAGACTCCAGGATCGGTTACAGTGGGATTAAACATCCACTTCTGTGGGCCTGCCAAGGTATCTACATCTCCTCAGCTCACATCAAATAGCTCCCACCAGCCGGTGCTGCTGTCTCCTCTGTGGGGTTAACTTCTGAAGTTTGCAAGACAGCTAAAAACACAGAATCTCAAAATAGTCCCAGAAAGCCCTCTTCCTCATTATGCATTTCCTGCTGTAATGGGTGAGGATGCTATTTCTTTGATGGAGGAGCTGCTAGTTGGCTTGCATTGAGCAGAACCTTGCTGCATCAGATTCTTATGAAGATGTGAGGTTCTTTCTCATCGAGGCAGAGGGTTCCAGCTGTGAGAGGCGAGAGGGGGCAGAACCCAGCCCCATCCTTCTCACGGTTACACATGGGCATAGCTCCTTCTGTGGAAAGGGTAGGAAGAACCACTTGCAAACTGCAGTTTCTCCCCCAGAGCTGGCAGGCAATAAACCCTGAGTTAAATATTCCTTCTCTTCTACATGCAGTGTTCACACAGGTGGGGGATTTTCTGCATTTGGTCCTGATTTCAGTTTGAGACTGTATGAGGAAGCCTATATTTTTGCAAAGTATATTCCATCCCAGAGTTGCCATTTACTAGCTGTGACCTTAGGCCAGTTCCTTAATGTTTCTGTGCCTCAGTTTCACCGTCTGTTATACAGAGATGGGAGCAGCACCTGCCTCACAGCACATATCCCTGGATTCAGTGAGAAAATTAATTACTGGTTGGCAACTCACAGAATGGTACCTGTTCAAATACATGGCAAAGAAACTCACACTCAGGAGAGGCAAAAAGAGATAATTATGGGTTAATGCAAAAAGGGGTTTCTTAAAATAGGCCTTGGGCTCCCTGAGGGGTCCTTGGTGACAATAATTGGAGCAGCTTATCTGGAAGCTGAGGGTTGACTTGTGGGCTGCCTTGTCTGACAGTTTATTCCCAGGCCAGTCGGAGAATGGCTGACAGTCTGATCAATGCTATTAGGGTGTAATTCCAGCGTCACTCTCCTTCCTCTCCTTTATTAGCAAACTAAAGAATGGCAGGTGGGAAAAAGCTGTCACCTTGTGACAGGATCAGTGTCCTCACCAGTAAAAGGGCTCAACAGTGTGTTCTTCAGTGTTTTCAAGGGCTGAGTGAGGGAGCAAATCAAACAGCTCCCGGCGAGGCTGCTGTCTAAGGAACACTTAAGTATGAGCATTTAAAAATAATGTCAAGGTTTTCTTAGAAATGAGAAACCATGTGAGCTGGAGGGAGCTATAGAAAGGGAGCTTGAGCTGGCGAGTCTGCTAGCCATAGGGATCTAGCTGAGTGGGATTATGCTCTAGTTATGAGAAGGCCTTGCTGGATATGATGAAAATACAGTAACCAACGTGCATTGTGGGATTCATGTGTCCCAGGCTGTTTGAGTATTCTATGGTTGTTGACTTACCCATCCTCAGCCCGGCAGGCAGAGCCGGCCATTTGTGTCTAGGTTTGATGTGACACCTTTTGAATGTAGCTCTGTCTGGCTGATCCATGTATGATCTGTGTATTCACTCTCTTTCATGCCAAAACACCCCCAGCTGCAGCAAAGGCAGGGGCCTGACCCCACCTTAGCCTTACCAGTGCCGCCCACTCCTCCCTAAGCTGTGTGTGGTTCTTGGCCAAACACTGAATTTGAGCTGACTCCTGCAGAGAGGATTTTCACATACATCCCTGTCCAGCCTGGCAGTGGTCTCTATTTCAGTACGTATTGGAGAACAGTAGGTATAAAGTTCTGGTTTTATACTATGCTAGCTTGTGAGGGCTGTTTCATACTATGCTAGCTTGTTATGACCAGGTGGATTAAATAACGCACACTTATTTCTTCCCTATGCAGGAGGCCAGAAGTCGAAGGCCCAGGTGTGGGCAGGTTGGCTTCTCCAAAGTCCTCTCTCCTTAGCTTGCAGATGGCCATCTTCTCCCCATGTCCTCTAGGCCAGGCTCCTCCTCTTGTAAAGGAACCAGTCGTATTGCATGAGAGATCACCCCCACCTGGCCTCCCGAGAGGCCCTATCTCCAGATCCAGCCCCACCCCAAGTCTTGGATTCTAAGACTTCAACTTGTGAATTTGGGGGCAGGGTGAGACGGAATTTGGCTCCTCAGACACACCAGCAAGGAAGATTGAAGTCTGGAGATGCCGAATGGGAATCAGGGGATTATCCAAGTTGAGACTAAGAACATTCTCAGCTGAGCGAGGACGTTATCCCATCTGTCTGAGCTCACATCCTTAGCAAATAGTGCCTTAGAGCTAACTTACCTCCCCTCCCTCCCTCTCTTCTCTCTCTTTCTTCTCTTCCTTCTTCCCTTCTCTTTCCCCTTCCTTCTTTCCTGCCTTCCTTTTCTTCTCTTTTCCTTAAGAGGCTGAAAGGGCAGCCTTTACTTCCGCTCCCAATCACCACCACGATATCACAGGGTTGTGGAAGATTAAAACATAAGAGAGTGCAGACATTTTCTGAGGAAACGCCTCCTTTCTCACCCATTCACTTACACTTGTTAACAAAGGGTGTAACCCACTCATTCTCTCACCCAGCCAGCCATCAGCAGACTACTGCCAAGGGCGGGCACACTCACAAAAGCACTAAAGGTCACTGCTCAGCTCACACTTGTTGCAGGGACACAACCCCACGCAAGACTCATGCTCGAAGACTGCAGAAATGCATGCAGTGGGAGTCCAGCAAGAGGTGGGCACTGGAGGTGGCATAAGGATCACCTTCCAAGAGGCCTCCTGGGGGTAGGATGTGGACCCCTTTGCAGGAAGAGTTTTCAGAAGCAGTCAAAGCAAGATGAAAGCATGCAGTGTCACTTTCTCCTCCAGCGATGCATCTTTTCTCCTGGGACATGCAGATGTGATTCCACCATCCCCTCAGTGCCATCTTTGTTTGTTGTTTGTGGCCCGGAAAGGAAAGCAGTAAGGTCATACCCACCTCATCTCCTCTGAGTCCTGTCCCCAGCGCAAATTTCTGGTTCCTCTCCAGGAAGCGGATCTTCACATTGTACACTTTGTTCCCATGAAACACCACCAAGACGTATGGTTCTGCCATGGATTTGGTGGAACAGTCTCGGACCAAGAAAGTACCATCCTGAAACAAAAGGAGAAACAGTCATCCTCTAAGGGAGGTGCAAATAATCCCACATGTGTGTAGCTTTTAGCGGAGGAGTTGCCGACTGAATTTAACTCAGTACTGTTGGTAGGAGTGTGGTTCTCATCACTTTCTGGGCAGTATATCAAGGGATCATAGTGCTCCCTTCTTTCAAATCTCCCCTTACCTCCTGCTGACCCGGGCGAGGAGCCTACAGCCTTAGCAGGTGCTCAGGGCAAATGCACCAGCTTGTCCTGTCCTGTCCTGTCCTGTCCTGTCCTGTGCTGTGCTGTGCTGGCCCCGGCTCCTGCTCCTGACAGCCACCACTTCCCAAGGGCACCACTGCTCCAGGCTGATGGCCTTGACCCCTGCAGGCCAGCTGTCCTCCTGCCCCTCCCACAGTCTCCTTGGAATCTGTCATTGTTCACACATTTCCTGTTTTGGGGCCCTGGTCTGGAGAGCATGAGCAAAGCCACAGGTAGGCCTTGAACTCTTAATCCTCCTGTTTTAGCCTCTCTAGTCCTGGGATTACAGGCATGTCCCACTCAGCTAGTACTTACATAATCTACAGTTAATATTTATAGGGTTATATGTAGTAGCTATTTGTAATTATATGATTTATAATTAATATTTATAGTGTTATATGTACTATATATTATAATTATGATTGATATTTATGGATACAGATATTGATATAAATCACAATGGTAATAATGCTATGTAATAGAATAAGTACACCAAATGTATAAGTAATACCATTACACTCTATGGATGTGATGGACCACACGGGCAGCTAAGGTTTGTTGAGTGTTATCTTTGGGTGCTAAGCAGTTCATGCACACCATTTCGTTTGATCTTTGCATAAACTCTGAGTGGAATATTTTATCCATCTTATAGGCAAGGGAATTAGGGCCTAAGAACTAAGAACTAAGTAAACCCTCAAGCCTCATACTTAGTCCAGGAATATTGAAAGTCAACCCCAAATTCTTACTCAATAAACACACCAGCCTACAAGTATATAAAGCATGATTGGGAACTTTCAGGAGTTTGATTCTCTGTAAAATGTGCAGCCGCAGCAGGGATCACTGCCAAAGATCAGCGAGGGAGGGACGGCCAAGATTCACAGCCAAGTGTTGCTTTTAGCATTTGCAAGTCTGCAATGAATTTGTCAAAATAGAGCTGAGCAGCCCTGCAATTTAAATGAAGATATCTTTCATAAATGGGAAACACGTTTTGACAAACTGAGAAAAACAGAAAAGGAGGCAATGGAAAGGAAATACAAAGTCTTTCAACTGAGATTGCTTTCCCCAGAGCTTCTTGGGAAGAAGTGGCACAAAGGGAAGGGAAGGGAACGTTTACCAGACCCTTGAAAGTCACCCCAGGGGGCGGCGGGTGATGCGTGGTCTGCTCTGCTAGCGTGGTCCACACGTGGGCTCTGCATGCAGCTCCTCCAGGGGCAGCTTTGCTGATGGGAAACAGACCCTCAACGCAAGGGCGCCTCAGGCGGGGAGAGCAAGAGGGGAGCCCTGGCTGGAGTCACCACCTCTGCGCCTGCTACTCCACAGGCAGGTTCTGTGGACGGAGCGGGAGGCCCGGGGCCAAGGCATCACCCGGACACCCACCCCTCCCTGTCCGGCCGTACAGAATGGTCGTGGCTGCAGGCAGCTGAGGCTTTGTGAAAAGGCAGCTAATTTTGAACACAGGCTCTGCCACTTTATCCACTTTGTGGTGGAGACCTTGGCTTAGGGTCAGTCTCCTCATCCAGGAGATGGCATAATCGCATTTACTCTTAATACGTCTAAGATGCTTTGCTGACAGCTATGCTAGTTTCCTGCTGCTTATGTAACAGATTACTGTGAAGTTAATCGCTTGCAACAATTATTCTTTCGGTTCTGGGGGTCAGAAATCTGAGATGGATCTCACTGGGCTAGACCAATGGGGAAAATCTGTTTCCACGACTTTTCCAGTTTCTAAAGGCCACCAGAATTCCTGGCCTTTGGCTTCCCATAACCCTGACCCTGCTTCTATTATTAAATCTCTTTTCTCACTTTGACCCTTCGCCTTCCTCTTGTAAGGACCTTTGTGATCACATCCAAACTACCCAGATGGCAGAGGATGAGCTCTCCATCTCAAGATCCTCCACTTAATCTCATTATATTATAAGCGTATAATTTATTTTTTCAATTTCAATTCTGAGAACTAAATTATTAAACATAATTGGAGGCCTCTTAGCTATTCGGTAATTAACTAACTCATTCATTTTTGTCCTTACTCACTCAACAACGACTATTGGTTAGCTGCAGAGAAATTTTGATGTTGAATTAGTTTTGAGAAACTTTCTATCACTTCTAAGTAGCCCAGTATATTTCTCAGAACATAGCAGTCACTTAATAATTATTTGTTTTGTGATGATGGTTGTGATAGTCACTGGTTAAAAGTATTCCAGTTCTTCTCTCCTTTTAGTCACATCATAGGTTTGTACTTCCCACCCTCTTTGAAGTTAAGTTTGGTTATGTGACAATCACATATGAGCAGAGACAAAGTGTGTTACTTCTGAGAGGAGGTATGAGAGTTTGAGTGTGAAGTTAGAAACACACCATGGAGATAATCCCTCCTGCAGCCCGAATTAACCCCCTCCCCCAAAAAAGTGTCTTGAACATGGAGTGCAAACAAGAAATGACATTTTGTTATGACAAATGACCGAGATCTTGGACTGTTTGTTACTGCGGCAAAACCTATTATACCCTGACTATTGCAGCCTTTATAATCCCTGCTCCTTCCCTAAAAATAAGACAAAAGACCCAACTGTAGCTTGGGAAGATGTCTTATAAGAAGATGGAACTTGAAGAAAGAAGAAGGCACCATCCATTGTGACCTTCATGCCCCAGCTGCCACACTGAACAAAGAAATCTATAGGTAAAATTGTTTACAAACTAGAGAAAGTCACACAGCTGATAAGTGACAAAACCAAGTCTTAGATCTGAAACTTTTAAATACCGCCACCTTTTTTTTTTTTTTTCAGAACTAGGAATCAAACCCAGGGCTTTGCACATTCTTAGCAAGTAATTACCATTGACATACATCCTGAGCCCTTACATCTCCTTTTTAATTACAACCTCCCCAGCATTGAGAAAATTCAAGATGACACAGACATCACTATATGAGAGCATGCTGCTTCTTATACGAGCAGAAAAACATAACTATAGAAACAATGACAATGGCCTCTGTAGAAATTATTACCTTGTTCTCCTGCATTAATGCCTCTTCAACTACCTGCCGACTGTATTCTCCAATGTACCATTCATTGTGCTGAACATCCTATAGTACAAGTTCAATGAAAAATATTTTAGGATCAACAGGAGATACAGATTATGGATTAATTAATTTAGATTTTTCTTTTGTTCCACCATAGATAGGTTGTCCAATTATAGATTCATTTGCGATAGATAGCTCAAAAAGTTTTATCTTTGAACCTGGAGATGCCTACTGATGCTAGGAGAAGATGAAGACAGAAAAAGTAACTGCCGCTGGGGATTCTGAAGTTGATGGGAATGAGAGAGACTCCCTGCATAAGGAGTAACAAGAAATTGTGCTCCGTCAATTAAGAGGGGCCCCTCACCATCATTCAGGGTGGATAACAAACTCTCTATCTATCAATGTTTCCTGCATCTGGGCCTGTCAAATCTCACCGAGGTGGGATGTGTGTCATTTGTGAAGCCTGTACTGCCTTAGTCATCATAAAAACAGCAGGTGGGAGAGATCTGTGCTGACTGACAGTGTCTTCATGCCCCTCTCCCGGAGCCATCTGTGAGAGAGCTGAAATCTGAAGAGCAGTAGAGCTGGCTTTCTTAATATGCTGTACTGCCTTATTTATATGGATGATGATTGGTTATAAATTATCTAATTATAAAATCCATCATAACAGGGACTAGGAAGGACAATCAGAGAGATGTACCATGGCCGTGCAATTCCTTCACTGGGTTCCAAGGATCCTAGTACTGAATCCTCACTCTACGCAGCCCTTTATTTAGTATCCCAAGCCATCTTTCCACCATTTCTGTGCAAGTGACATGACAGGTAGTGTTAGCCCTAGTTGTTATAATGGACCCTGGCGCCTTAGAAAGTCAAATTCTGCCAGGTGGTTAGCAAGAATGACGGGCATACATTAGGAACTTGGTCTCTCAATTTCTTGTAGAAATATTAAAACCCTATAATATACAGCCAGAGGGGACGACTTAACACCAATGGTAATAAACTTCTTTGGACATTGCTCAATAAAGTGTTAGTGGGATGGTAAGCAGAAGGACTTGGCAGAGAAGTGTCTACCTCACCTTTGCACCAGATCTTGGGGGGAAAGGTTTTCTCCAGCCAGTGTCTCCAGAGGGCAATGTGCTTTCAGCAGGGCCACAGCTGGCTGGAGGCGGGCATCTCCTAGGGGAGTGGGACTGCATGCTGCCTTTTTGACCTAGAGGAGGAAAGAAAATTAAACACGACTGTGTCATTCTCTCAGCCTGTCTCTGTCCTGCTCCTTTTAAATCCTGAAAGTAAAATAACTATGCCTATTCGGACTTGGATATTTAGATGATATTTTACTAAAATGAAGGCAGTGAGCTAGACACATCATTGGAAACAAGGGGCAGCGTTTGTTGCCAATCGCACATTCAGACTTTTCCAGTGCAAAGTGGAATTTGGGAAAGCCTGCCGCCACCATTGAAACCTGATAGTATTCCAATAATAAGAGTTTTCTGATGAAATTGGTGGTGGTGTTTGCAAATGCAATTTAAAAAATATTATATAATAACGTATTGTTAGGGTTTGGATCTAAATATGTCCCAAAGCTCCTATGTTGACCACTTGATCCCAGCTTACGGCCCTTTTGGGAAGCGGAAGGAATTTTAGAGTCAGCTTATGAGGGGAATGCCCTAGGAGAGCATGTTAGGACGCCAGCCCATCCTTCTCTTTCTCAGCTGCCCTGTTGCCCTGAGGTTCTGTTTCCCCACAGGCCCCAAAGATAAGGCTGCATGACCATGAACCGAAACTGCTTAGATGTGAGCCAAAATAAATCCTTTTCCTCCTGTTAAGTGATTTCAGATATTTACCACAGCAAAGGATATCCATCTGACAATATATGCTAGCACTGAAAAATGGGTTCTTCTGTGAACCATTACTTCCAAATGATCGCTGCCTGATACTACAAAATCACGCCCGAGAAAAGATGAATTCAAATGCAAAATAGAGCAGTGCATGTTAAAGTAACAGAACAGAAAGAGCTTATTGACAGGGTTTTGATTTCACTTGGCACCCAAGCTTTAAGATGCTACCTCTTACTGAATTTTTATGCCATTTTTCTATATACATCAATCAAAGTAGAATATTTCTAGTCAGGCATCGTAACACATCTGTAATCCCAGCTACTCAGAAGGCTGAGGGAGAAGGATCTCAAGTTGCCTTGGCAACTTAGCAAGACCCTGTCTCTAAATAAAAGGAAACAAACAATTCCCCCAAACAGGGGAAGCGTGGCTGGGGATTTAGCCCTGGGTTCGATCCACAATATTAAATAAATAAATAAATAAATATTGTAAGTTCTAATAAAAATGAATAAAAGGTAAATTTCATGAAATTTAGATTACAACGAGGGAAAGAAGTATCAGTAGAAGTGGCCAGCAAAGGCATTTGTAAGTATGTTAGTAGTTCATGGGGGATAACTGTTTAAAAATAATAAAAACTGAAGAGTATAAGAATTATACATAAGTAAAGTACTGGACAAAAATAACATAAAATGGAAGAGAAGTGATGAGTGCGATGACAGAATTATAAGCAGTTTGAAAAATACAACTGAACTTACAGTCCTGGTTAGTAGCTTAATAAGAACTTTGGACCCAATATAATTTTTAGATGAAACAAATATTAAATAAAAGAGCAAAAATGTAGATGCCAGTTGCCATAATATTTAGAGTTTATATGTATTTTTTTCTGCTTCTTGACATCAAAAAGTCAAATTTCTCTCCAAGATTACTGAGAAGAACCAAACAGTACTCCTGATGCTTTGAAAGGTCCACTTTAATGGTACCAGTGATTGTGGCTTTTAAAGTTGACCTGATAAAGGTTGTATGTCTGTATCAAAATAACTATTGCACAAAACCAATCACGTAAAGCTTAAATTGCATTTATTTTACTATTAAATTTCACTTACCAATTTATGATCTTGAAAATAGTAACAAAGCTAAAGACATCCCTCCGTCTAAACTTTTATAAGTAATAAAGCTTAGCTTTAAGTGGTGCAGAATCCACACCCTTAAACCATTTAAGTTTCTGTGTCATTTAGGAAGAAAGAATGAACTTCAGATTTTTAAGATTCAAACATACTTTTCCTTAAAATGTTAAGGTAACAAATAGAAGAATAATTTTGGAATGTATACCTTCCAAAAAAGGATAAAATGGAGAGGGATGTGGAGGTGAGTCCAGTATACGGCAGGAAAAAAACTAAAAAGTCAGTGAAAAGTAGGTAAGTGGGAGGGAGGCATAGAATAATTTAAAATATATCAAAATGTTAGTAATTACAATAAATATCAAAGGTACACACTTAGCATTTGACAATCAGGTGTAGGTTGGTTTAAAAACTCTGGAGTTGTGCTAATTGCATATGTTAAGTAGAATGGCACAGAGAAATCACAAGTTGGAGGACGGAGAGCTACAGACCAGGTAATCCTAATGAGAGAAAGCTAACAGAGATACCCTAACCTAAAATAGACATTAGAACTTTATTTAAATTATAGTGAGCCAATAGACACAGGCCATAGCTCTCTTTTCAACAGGGGTTGAAGCAGTAAGAACGTTCCTGAGAGAGGAAAACAACCATTATCAGCATTTCCTATTACTTAGTTTGTGCTTCATTCATAACAGTGCTCAGTGATGATGAATTTTTCATGATATTTTTGGTAACTCATCTATTATTTCTCAATGCCCTGTGCATTGCTTGAATATTTAAAAAGTTCTTTATTTTTTATTTTTATTTTTTTTAAAGTTCTACTTTAAAAAGATCATTTGGAAACATTTATGCATTTGTAGTCTGTTCAGAGAATGAGTTAAACAAAACAAAACAAAACAAAAAACAACTGTCACACAATATTCTTAGGAAGGCCTGGTTGAGTCTTTGTTGAATGAATGAATGAAATTCTAAGCATATGTTTCGCTAAAATCAATTAATTGATTTCATTCTACAATAATGGGAGCAGTTAAACTTTGGAAAGCTCTTCCTATATTTGAGTTTTATGACCCTGTGAAGTACGATTCTCCTGCTTAGAAAAGAGAAGGTTACAGCCACGAGGACACTGGCGAATAAAGGGAAGAACGCTGGGGGAGGTGGTCAGTATTATGTGAGAACAGGAGAGCCTGATAACAAGAGGCATGGGTTGTAAAATGATAGTAGCAATAATTACTAATATTTAAAACTCATATGTAGCTAATGCTAACACAGATCCTGATCCCCAACCCATGCTGGTCATTTCACATGAGCTAGCTGTGTGTGTTGCTAATTTTATGCTTTAGATCTAGAATGTCCCCTAAAAATCTCCATGTATGGAGGCGGGGCTTTTGTAAAGTGATTAGATCATGGGTGTGTATACTCATCAGTGAGCTATTAGGAGGTGGGGACTGGTTAGAAGAGGTGTGTTGCTGGGAGAGTGCCTTTGGAGGGTGTATCTCCCTCCCTGGCTCCAACCCTCCCTCTTTGCTTCCTGGATGCCATGAAGTGAGCAGATCTTCTCCACCGTATCCTCCATCCATCATGCCATTTCTTCCTTGAAACCAGCCAATCATGGATGGAATCTCCCAAAACCATGAGCCAAATTAAAGACTATTGCTGTCACTATTGTGGAGTATAACTGAACATTTCTTGACCCTCTTCTGACACGTCAATTTTTGTTTGTTTAAGATTCATTTGCTTGGGCTCTTCATAGCTTAGCTTGAATTCATTTCTCAGAGAACTGAGCCAAATGTGCTTATCAAACAGTGAGTGAAATACTGGAAATAACTAAACTGGCTTTGTTGTTCTGAGATAGAGTCCCCTTCTTTCAAGGCTGACCTTGAACTTGCAATCTTCCTGCCTTAGCTTTCCAGGAAGTTGGGATTACAGGTATGTGCAACCACATCTAGCAAAGTTTTCCAAAATTCTTTTCTCACTTTTTTGGTACCAGGGATTGAATTCGGGACCTTCTTTTCTCATTTTTAAGATAAGGATAATAATATCTATATCTGCAAGGATGTAGATTTTAGTATTCTATGTGAATGCCAACCCTTGAGGAATTCAACTGAAAACCAAGAGGCTTTAGAGCCCCTAATGGACTGAGAAGTCTCTGAGGGCAGAGATTGAGAGCCACTTTCTGCATATCTAATATTGCCTGTATTGGTCATCCAGGGAAGACTTTTTATTTGGTAGTAAGATGATGGAGGAGCATCGCAGGTACATAAGAACTGTTTAATAGAGGGGTGGGGCTGTCTCTATTCTGTATTCTTAGGGTCCAGACTAATTGGGTATAAACTATCTCCTTGGTAAATGTCTTTTGACTAAAAGAAGAAGTAAAAGGCCAAGACATTTGACCTGTCCATTCTGGGCTTCTAGAAGGAAACTTGCTTTCTTCGACACTAGAGGAGGACAGTGCAAAAGACCCCAGTACAAAAATCTACACATAGCCCTAGGATGTTGGCCATTCCCTTCACCAACTCTTCCGTTCTCTTCTTCAGTTGCTCTTTACTTTGCATTTCTGCATGCTTTTCATCTTTCAAGTTAAGACTGGATTCCTCTTTATCTGCTTCCCTCTGCTTGCAGTGTATTTTCAGTCCCATCCCACCACAACAACCACCACTGAAGTGATGCTCTTTCTGGGCTTGTTCAGCCCCTGGACTTTCTGCCTGGGTCCTCAGTTTTTCATGTTCATGACCCAGATCTGAGTTTTAGCACTGCTCCTAGGAATGGAGCCCCTTCGGTTAATCACAGTTCTCTTCGTTCATTTTTAGGAGTTGTCTCTGAGGAAGCTCCCATTCACAGTCTGCATGAGGGGAAACAGATTTATCACCTAGGGCTTCGGTTGGAAAATCATAACACTCAGATGCCATGTGGCAGATGTGCAATGAGGAGACTTGGAAATCCACTGAGGTCAGCTTGGCATGGAGGAGCACAGGGACTGCAGGAAATAAGGAGGGATATTAAGATGCAAGGCATGGCTGCTCATGCCTGTAATACCAGCACTCAGGGAAACTTAGTGACTTAGTGAAACCCTATCTCAAAAAACAAAAATTTAAAAAGAACTGGGTATATAGCTCAGAGTGAAGGCCCTGGGTTCAATCCTCAGTTCCAAAAAATAAAAAATCAAATCAAATATACCCCTTGTCTACTATGTGTCAAGCAAGTCTCTGTGTGTGTGCGCAAGTACATGCGTACCTTACACTTATTAATGTAATGTGCATGCTATTAATGTATGAGCTATTATTTGAATTTTGTGGATGAAGGACTATGAAGTGCAAAGAATTAACTTGTTCTAGGTGATCATATGGTAGGGAGAAAGGCAGAATGGGGACTAAGATCAGTAGAGGTCATCACCCTCCCTGCTATACTCCACAGTGTCTGCTTCCTTCAGGCCTAAATTCTCCTTTCTGGCTCAAAAGTCAGACTGCAGGGCAAGACCTGAATATAGAATATACAGAATAGAGAGCAAAATATAGAGTAGAAGGTGTCGTTTGGGCAAAATAATGCTAATATATCAAACCCACCACTAATAGTTATATGACATTATTTACATGCTGCCTTAGTGTGTTAGCCAGCTTTGCATCAGTATAACAAAACATCTGAGAAAATTAACTTAAAAGGATGAAAGATTTGTTTTGGCTGATGATTTTGGAAGTTTCAGGCCAGTTTTGTTTGGCCCCATAGCTGTGGGCCTGAGGCAAAGCTGGTCATCCTAGGGGTGGAGCGTAAGTGGTCAGACCGAAGCCGCTCGATTCATGGCAGCCTGGAAACAGAGAGATGTATCTTTTCAGGACTTGCCACAGTCATCTACTTCCTCCAATTAGGGTCCACCTCCTAGAGTTTCCATCACCTCCCACTAATGCCATCCAATTATGAATCTGTGAATGAATTAATGCATTGATGAAGTTAATGTCCTCATGATCCAGTCACTCCCCAAAAGCCCCCCTCTGCCTAGGGGACCAGACCTTCAATAGATGAGCCATTAGGGGACAATTCATATCCAAACCACAACAATGAGACATCTAAGCAAACATGGTACCCTGGGCTTTATCTTTACAATCAATTGGCAAGAGAGATCAGTTGAATTTTTTTCATTTCACAGATTTTTTTCTTGAGATAAACCTATTTTGCACCCAATGGATTGGGAAACATTAAAGATTTTTCATAAACACTGTTAGAGAGGAAGGAGAGCAAAGGGGACTCATAAACTGTGAGTGACTGATTGACATGTCTACTTTGAAAAGTACATCTGAGGCAAATGAAGAGACATATTACCCTAAGTATATCCCTAGAAAATTCTATTTTAGAGAGAAAAATGATCCTCTTGTATACATGGGAAGACATCTACGGCAATGTTCATAACATAACTGGAAATGACCTCTGTGATTAGATTTAGTTATGAATTAAAATTATGTCAAATTAACCCGGTGAAATGCTATCAGCCAATGGAAATGAGCTAATTACATCTATGCATATCAGCTCAGTGACTGAGCCACACAAAAGGTAAGTCACAATGTAGGAATATCATGGCATGATGACTTACCTGTTAATTTCATAATTCTTGCAGTGGCCTTACCTCTTTCTTGGATATTGTGGTTTCTCAGCATGAAGGAAGAACTAAAAGAAATGGTAGAATTGGTAGAATGTTAGAATTTCCCATGCTGGGTACAATTCCAGTCAGGGGCAAGGTCAATGGTTATGTTATGATGTAACATTTATAAAACACTCCATATTTTACTGAATATGCTAGAAGAATTGTTGGTTTTCTAAGGCAATGAGAGGCTGGCTGCTCTTCTTTCATAATACTGGCAAATATTAGATATGGAATAAATTGATCACCCTAAGTTCTTCTTATATCATGTGAGCAAACACATTTCATAATTCTTTACCTTTTAAAGACGAGAGTTTAGAGTTGGTTTGTAGTTATAGTCATAGAAATTCATATTTGGTTGGGCTTACATTGTATTGAATTTGTTTAGTGATTGAGAGTCAGCTATAGCTAGAAAGAAGAGTATAGAAATTTCGTTACTTCTTGAAATGCGAGCTGAGTGAGAAAGCTGTATGGAGTACTCCAAAGAATTCCATAAAGAAAAAGAGGATTATAAAGATATAAGACAATCAACACAGCAATATGCATTTCTAAACACAAAAATAGTATTACAAAGATTGTTCTTCAATAGCTTCACTTCACACCTGGCTCCAATTTTCTGGTTCATTTTGTATTGTGGTCAACATTGTCAATATAAGCTCCAGGTGCTAACAGAGTTAAATCTAATTATGCGGGGCACATTCCATTTCAAAGACTGTGCTATTGGCAAAAGCCTCTGGGTTAATTAACTGAAACTGCACCCTTTTCTAGCACCAATGAAATCAATAGCATATATATCTGGTTTTTGTTCTCCCTGTGAAAGCCTAGGTCTTGGCTGGTAAAAATGCCAGCAGATGGTCCGACTGCCACACTCTGTTACCAACACTGTTCAGACTTCTGACATCCAAGCTCTCGACTATAAAAAACACTATCCTTTTACTAGGAGCTAGTGCAATTTGTTAAATATCTGGGGCAAAATTATGAGCAGCAGTTTCTCTGTTCTATTTTTCAGCATTTGGGGGAAGTAGCTAATGATAGGAATAGTCTCAAGATATTTTAGATCTCTGGTACATAATTTATAAGGGCAGAAACAACAACAACAAAAATCCCCAAACTAAAACTATGATCAACATCATGATCCTTTCATTTAACCAACACATACTGAGCCTTTACTGGATGCATGGTATGTTTGGGGAATGTTAAATAAATAAAGCATGGTCCCTGCCCTAGTGGAGCGTTTTATTCAGAGCAGATGTACTCATGTCATCACTGTAACACACTCAGTGAATGCCTCAGTAAAGGTGCATGGAGCATCAGCCTGTATGACAGAGAAAGGTCACTAGCAAATGGAATCGCTCTGGTTCTCAGCAAAGGCTTCTGGGTGAGCTGCTAACAGATCAGAGCCCCAAAGAGTGATGAAGAATAGTAAGAAGAGAGAGTGCGTTCCAGGCAGATAGAGCAGCAGGTGCCATGGATCAGAGGCAAGAAAATGAGACTCATTTGGCCAGAGCCCAGGAAGTCAGAGCTTGGAGACCCTCGGTATCATTAGGCTACTGCAATGGTCAGGGCAAGAGTGATGGGGGCTGCTCTACCTTACTTGGTGGAGAAATGAGGGGAAACTGATAGACTCGTCTCATTTGGAGGTGGAACTTGGGAAGCTGGAATGGACTGGATGGGAACAGGTTTCATAGACTGAAGTGGGAAAGTCTGCAGGGGTATATTGTTGATTTGAGGACGAATGTAGAAACGAAGAGTTCAATTTTGAAAATGATCAGTGTGCAATGCCTGTGATCTCTCTAAGGCACTCTGCCCACTGTTGAACTGGAAATAGCAATCCGGAGCCGAGAACGGTGGTTTGGGCAGAAGATGGGGACTTGGGCACTATCGACAGAGAGCTGACATTTGACACTATGAGGGGAGTGAGAAGAGGCCCTCAGATGAACTCTGAGGAGTGCCAACATGTAGTCCGTCTGGAAAATAAGCCTTGGAAGGGGGCTTAGAGGAAGAGGCATACTAAGTGAGGAATAAAATCAGGTGACTTTATTCAATAAATTAAGCAAATAAAATGACCTCAAACAATGACTGCATGCATAAATCTGAAGAGCCCATTATCTTTTCACTATGATGACTTTTTTTCCTTGTAAAATTATATCAAGAATTAAGTTTTGACCATGGGAGGCCGAACCCAGGGCCTTTGCACTGAGCTACATCCCCAGTCCTTTTCTTTTTTTCTTTTCTTTCTGTAAGACAGGGCCTCACCAACTTGCTAAGTTTTCCAAGCTGGGTTTTAATTTGCGATCCTCCTGCCTCAGCCTCCCAGAGTGCTGGGATACCTGGCCTGTGCCACCAGGCTCAGCTAAGAAAGTGAATTCTATCGTGGAATAGTGTCAGATTGGGACTTTCATTATTGCATTAAGTCAGATTTGGACTTCATCATTATTATAAAGGAACAATCCTAATACCCACAGGCCAGAGGGTGAGAACAAACTTAGTGAAAGTGCAAAATAGGACATGGAAGCAAACGAAGGAGGAGAAGGGGTCAGGGATGTCACAGTGCTGCTCATGCATGGGATCTGGGAACAGTCATGAGAGCTGGCATGGACTGGGCTTTGGTCTGAGCTTCCTGTGTAAGATGTGAGGCTGTTCAAGTCACGTTGCTCATGAGGGGTGATGTCAGGCAGTCCTGCCCACCTGCTATTCCTCTCCACCACGACATGGTGCCCTGCCAGTAAGGATTCACTGAAAAAATAAAACACACCATCTCAGCTATGGGCAGGCACCAGAGAGCCACAGTTCATGGACAGCATTTTTAGAATCAAGTCACTATAGGCAACACAGGCTACTGCACCATGCTTGGGGTTTGGAGTTGGACTCAGCTTCAGTGTTTCTAGGCCTCACTTTTATCATCTGGGAAATGGGTACGAATTGTCTTCTGGCCTGAGTGTAGTTTTAAGCTGGCGTGTGATGGATGAAAAGTTTTCCAAACAGGGGGAGAGCGGCGAGGAGCAGGTATGGAGGAAGAGTTACAGGCAGGGGAGTGGGAGGTGTGGTGCCCTGCAGTGAGCAGAGGCTGGTATAGGCCGGGAGACACCATGAGGCTGCAGGGTGTGCTGGAAGGGAAGTAGGAGGACTGAGGGCACAGTCACTGGCCAGAGTCTGATCCTGAAGGTCTCACTGAGCTTACTTTGGAGGCCCTAGGCTCTGTTGCTGAAGCCTCTACTGATTTATAGGACCCTGGTGAATGAATCACCAGACAGAGGCTGTGCCTGGGGTTGACAGCACAGTAGCCTGATCAGACAATTATTTACTCATAGAATGGCATTTTCCATAGCTGGTCATCTATGAAGTGCTGTGGCATCAACTGAGAATAGTAAGAAACGGCCAACTTCTCCTCCAACACTGATTAGTATCCACTCCAGGAAGTTCTATCCAGTTACTATTCAATCCTTAAAATCCTGCACACTTCCCTAACATTAAATTCACCACTTATAAATAGCAAGAAGAGCAATATTATAGGGTTCAGTAACTGCTGGGATTCCCCGGTTTCAGAGCTTCAGGATGAAAGGCCAGAGATGTTCCGTGTTCTCAAGTCTTGGCAGTCCTTGTTCAGGACAGCACATGGCCTGACCCCTGAGCAGGGACCTAACAAATTCCTGGCTCCTTACCTGGTAACAGGAAGTAGAGTCCTCTGAGTGCTTTGGTTTTGTGATGGGTGAGATGATTCAGGCTTTATCTGGTGATGAGAAACTGAAGGCATGACACAATTTGATCAGGTTGCATATTAAAAATGATTGAGGGTGATTAGAAGCCCAATTAGCATTATAATTCCATCTCACTAATCTCTGATTATTATTAAGATGGTGTTGATGGTCAGTGGAAACCACAGCTCGTATATTCTATAACTCTCCAGCTTCTGGAGATGTCTTCTCCCTGCAGCTATAAAAATTGCATCAAATGCTTACCATCTCAGAAACACAGAATACTGCATTAGAAGGTATTTTAGGGGATATTTTAGACCAGTGAGTTTAAAGGACCTCTGGCTTTATTCTCATTCATTCACATCATTCAACAAATATTTACTGAGCATCTTAACTATAGGACAGGTCCTCTGCCAGGATATGGAGTTAATAGAGGAGAAGGACATGGTACTTACATTCCAATGAAAGGAAACAGGAAATAAACATCCAAGTAGGAGAAAGTATAAGTGATATAAAGAAATCAAAGTGCACTGTGGGACGCAGTGTGGCTGTATGTGTGGGTAAAGAAGGGCTTTAGGGCAAAGATCTCTCAACCAAGATCTTGCCGAGGAGAGTTAACCTCAGCGGTTGCCGTGGGAGATGGGGGACACCCACAGCCACCTGGCACCGCGTTCTCAAGCCCTTCCTGTGACAGGACAGGTCAGCTTGATGGAGACCAGAAGTTTTCAGTGGGTTACAACCAGGGATACATTTTCTCAGTGTTTTCCCCCTGATCATCCAGTTTTGAAAAGTTCTGCTAAGCATACAAGCCGTGTTGCTGCTTTTTATTTTGTTTTCATCCTAGGTGGATTCTAACCAACCTTCCAGAATTACAAGAGTGCATAATAACGGTACGATATGAAACCCTATAAAACACTCTCAGAGTGGTGATGGTGAGTAACAAAGCTAAGGAAGCATACAGACACCGACTGAGGTGGCCTGATTTGGGTTGTTACTCTGAGTTGTGTCCAAGGTTGATCACAAACTGGACACCTTTGATTGAAGAACTGAGATTAGTGGAAATATATTGGAGTCAGTGACTGGGCTATTAATCACGCATTCCATAAAACCATCTTGTGTCTTCAGCAGCCACTCAGAGTGTCCCCTGTCCTGAGCTGAACAACGTCACATTGCTGCCCTGCTAACCACTGAAGCCTGATGCAGCAGCCCCTGAACATTTTAGTTAGTGTGTTGAGAAAGGGCATGGTTTGCATCGTTTCAAAATTATTTAAAATTGCCTAAGAACCTCCAGTCCTCCATCAGGAGTCCACAAACCCAGGCAGTACCCTCTTCAATTTAACTTTCTCCATACATAGAGAAGAGCAGCCTTGAGCCCCAAAGAGGAAATGCAATTTGACTAAAATCACAGTGAGTACCAGGTCTCTGAATCCCTGACCCAGTGTTGTTCTGTGGATCTCTTCTGCTTATTTGTAACTCTCTGGGCCATGGGCAGGTCCTTTTACTCTGGGTACATTTCATCCTTTTAAAGGAATGGAATCAGCATTGCAAAGGTAGCATAAAGGCATCCCCTGCATCCTGCTGCATGGTGAGTGTTGGATTTTATGCTTGTATGGCAGAGGCACCAACAGTGTGCACATCTGTGTGTCACTGAAGGTGTGTGTGTAACAAGATGGATGATGTCAGAGGACCACAGACATCAATATTTTCTTGAGAGTAGTGGGGCAGCAGTTTCTTTCCTAAGTGGCAAGGGGTGACTGTGAGACTCCTTTGGGTTAGCAGCCTGTGTCTAAGGAAAGAACAGTGACTCACTCACCTCTGATCTAAATCAACCTGTTTAAAGTGGAGGACTTTTGGATACACTAGGAGGCCCTGCATCCCTCTGGACCACATCATTGTGTGTACACACACACACACACACACAATCAGACTTCAGAACAATCCTTTTAGATAACGACTATTCCTATAGATCTAGAAACAGAGCTTATGCTAATGGCACTGGAGTAAGAAAACCTTTGTAAACAACTTACCTTTTTCTTCTCCAAGGGCCTGTATTGAATAATAAAAAAATTAATGGTGTATGACTTCTAGTGGTAGAGGATTTAATAGAATACTATGAGTATTTTTAGAACATTTGGTTAGTAGAATTTGGGAAAAATTGTTAGTATCAACTTTTTAAAAATCTACCTGGCTTTCCCAAAAACTAAACAAAATCAAACTTTGTGTGATGCAACAGACAAATTTATAGTCAACCAATGGCACTGTAACTTGGCTTAACTTTTTTGGAAAGCACTTTAGCCATAGTTATCAGGATCCTTTAGAGATATTCTTATTCTCATTCCAGTAATTGCTTTGATGAGACTCTTTTCTAAGAACCAAACTGAAATCTGCAGCAGTTTCTATGTAGAGGATGTTCAACACATCATTATTTGTAGTGTCATATCATTAGAAGCAGTTTACATGCCCAGATAAATAAGAATTGTTTCCATGCTGAATTTGCTTATTGGTATATTCTGAAGGCATTACAGGTGCTCATGTAAAGAACAGAATAAGAATATACTGTATGCCTCAATGTTACATAAAAACTTCAGAATAAAAACTGGACCCAGGATGTATTTACATGTTGGTATGTTTTAAACATATATATGTGTGTGTGTGTATTTGTGTATGTATGAATGTAGAAAAATAGGTTTAAAGAAACACGATAAAAATTAATAGAAGTTCTGATCTAAGTGATGAGGCTATGATTAATTTTTCTTTATACTTGTTCTGAAATGTTATTTAAGGACACAAGCAGAAAATATTTACATTATTTTTAAATATCCATTTAGTTCCCCAAACAGTTCCTTTCTCTTCCCTTTCTTAAAAGAGGTAAATTACAGATTGTCCTTTGTTATGAAAATCTGCATGTTTCTTGAGTGGTTTTCATCTTTGACCACATTCTACTCTTGAAAAAGTGAAATGCTTTACAGTAGGGACAATATTTGGTGAGGGATTTCTTTCATCACAAGCAATCTTATAAATTCCCTTTCAGACTTCAGCTGGAAAAGTAGGTACCATTTAGATAAGAACTTGTGAACCCGAGGGATGTAAAAGGTCACTGGATTGTCAAATGAGGTTTATAAATGTTCTGGAATAAAAATGTTTTTCCTTTATAAATACTTGCATACTTTTTTTATGGGGTAAGGAAGGTTTATCACATCTTTCATCAAAATTTCAAAAGGATTTAAAGTCCGAGAAGCAGTAAAAGCCACTGGTTTACAGATGTGCTCCAAAGAGGTGACGCCCTTTGCCCACGTTCCCAGTTATCTTACAGCCAAGCTGACCCTGAGTCCAGCTCTCTCAACTCACAAATGCGTTTTAGTTAAGAAATCTTTAGCAGGAATCTTCTCAGAGCAGCAGCTTATGTCTTGTCTGAAGCTAGCCAACAGCAGGCCTTTTTGTTTCAGTGACCTTGGCATCCCCTAGGGTTCAGGCAAGAGGACATCCATGTCATTATGGATGGCAAGAAGGAGTAAATCGATAGGCCAAGTAGAAAGTGTAATGGATCCATTCAAACAAGTAGTTTGGAAGTCTCCCCACTGAGTCTTCCCCAGGACTTTGAATCTGCCTGCTCCAAGGGCTCCATCAGACAGGGCAGTTCTTGGACTTGTTAAAGGCAAGGGGAAGCAGAACCCTAAATCCTGTCTGTGGAGAAGCCCTGCTCTGGAAGAGTAGTTGTTTTATTTCATTGAGACCCAGCCAACTTTTTGGTTGAGGTCTCTGAATTTAAAATCAATGCAATGAAAAAGTAGCATGAAATCTCTCTAGTTTTTCTACTTTAACTTTTCTTGCTATTAGAAAATAAGTACCTTCAAGTGAGATGCTAATGTCTCCTTTATCCTCTCCCTCTATCCCTCCATTCTTCCTCCTTCTCTCTTTCTTCTCCTTCTTCTTCCCTTCCTTCCCTTACTTATTTTCTTCCTTCCTTTTTTTTTTTGTCTTTCTTTCTCCTTATTTAGCTCAGATTGCCTTGGCAGCAGTTTTTAGGGAAGAGAGGCACAGCTGTGGGGAGCAGCCCGGGACTGTGGGATTTCAGGGACCGGCCCTATCTTCTGCCAGCTGCAGGAACTCTGGGAGTTCGTCTCCTCTCTCAGGCTTCCTATTTTCTCTTAGGGCTTTGTGTGGATGAAAAGAGACTGAGGCTCTACTTCTTTTGCAAACTATGAAGTGCCAGTTGAATTTGAATTGAGGCAGGTCGTATTCTCTTGGGATGGATTCTACTCTCCAAGGTAATTAAGCAAGCACTTCAGGTGCTCACAAGTATGGTGTTTGCCCTTCTGCTTGGGCTTTTGGGGAAGTATCTTGGCAAAAGAGAAGAAGGAATGTGTTTGCTCCTAGACCTTTTTCTTTAGGTGATGCCAACTTCTAGCAGAAACCAACCAAAGTTACAGAGAAAGCGAGCAGTCCTGCAAGCTCCCAGCTGCTTTAAGGTGGACCTTCCCATTTCCCTCTTGCTTGTTGGTGACTGGAAGACCTATTGTTCCCTCAGGCTGATCAATGCATTATGAACTTGAAGTCATCTTGAGGGACACCCAATCTTTACCTGAGGCACATCAGTCCAACCTACAGGGAGAAAGGGGTGGAGTCCTGGGTCCAGGCGCCCGGATGTGTGGGCTCCCCCAGCAGCAGAGCATCACGCTCAGCTTGGTCCTTCCTGGTGGTGCTCAGGAACTCCAACAACTCCCAGGAGAACAGGAGCCTGGAGAAGTGCTGTCCTCTCATCTGGGAGTGACATGTTGTCCTTCTTGACATGATTAATCATTTTGTGGATTATAGGGATGGAATGAATGTCTTGTTTGAGTGACAAACTAAAAATGTGACTTTTGGCAGGGATTTAACTCAGTGGCACCATGCCTGCCTCATACGTGCAAGGTCCTGAATTCAATCCCTGCTACAAAAAAAAAATGACTTTTGATATTAGCATTCTCATAAAGCTAACAAAGAAGAAAGGAAGCAAGGGAGAAAAGAAGAAGGAAGGAAGGAAGGAAAGAAGGAAATAAATCAGCCTCTATGGTTTAGATATGAGTATAGGTCAAATAAGAAAATAAGAACTGAATGACTTAGGAGCCCAATGGGGTGAGGTGAGGCCCAGTATGTGGATGGACAGAAACTCTCCATTAGTCATGGGACTTACCCTCTCCTTAAGAAACTTCGTCTTTGTGAATTAAGGACATAACACCCCTAGAAATTTCCAGGAGAGCTGCACCTCACCTGATTTTCATGCCACTTGTTTACTCTCTATTGGTCATTGGTGCATTTATTAAGATTTTTTTTGATGTAATCACAACAACTTTGCAAAGAAATATATTTGTCTGTATTTTATGGCTGAGGGAACAGAAACCGAATCGGTGGGGATGCTTGCCAAAAATCACAAAAGCTAGTGGGCAGCAGAGCAAGATTCAAAGCCCAGATTCATGTGACACTGAATTTCTTCTTCCTTCTACTTTGCAGTCTTGCCTTCCCTGTGAAGAAGAAATATCAAGGTCCAATAAGGTGTCCAGCACTTCATTTCTGTGATGCTGGAGGTTGGATGCCATCTGCGGAGACTCTGTCTTCCCTGGGGAAGCAGGTGTGCTTCCCATTGTACCAATAAACAGGAAATGAGCATAGCAGAGTACTAGGGTCTTGGCTTAAAACCTGGACCTTTGTTTTACTTTAGATTTCTCACCTTTAAAATAGGGATGATAATACATTTTGCACATAGCTACTGTGAGAATTAGGTGTGATGAAGCAAGTAGAGTCTTGCTCAGTGTGATCATTCACTGCACAGAAATTCCCTTTTTGTTTCCCAGGAAAAAATTGCTACTTACTTCACTTAAGTCCTTTAAGCTTATTTGTCTGTAAGAAAAAAAGAGACATGGTGTTAAATAAAATGCAAGTTGTAATGACCAAGATAAAATCATTCTGAGCCCCTATAAACCTTTGATTACATTTTCATTGCCAAATTAACAGTCCATAGTTCAGTGGGATATTTATCACTGTTCTATAAAACTAAAGCAGGTTATTTTTTCTCATAATTTTCTAGGGAAAATCAGTTACAAGCCAGTATAAAAGGTGATAATAGTAAGGGCGTGGATATACTTGTTTCCTCCTGATATTTGGTTTTCAGTGTCAGGTCTCATTAGCACAGTCACACCTATTATTGACTTGCTCTGAGAAAATGTAAAGAGTTTTAAATATGAAGCTGTCACATGCAGTGGGATTCCAGGAAGGGATGTGTAAGAGAAAGAATACTGATAAAGAAAAGAGATCTTAGAAGAGGGGAAAACATGAAACTGAATGGAAGGGAAAGATTCAGAATTCGATAATGTGAGCATTGGATAAGTCTCAGAATAAACTCCAGCTCTTTCATTCTAGCGACAAATTAGTCGGCTTCTCTAAACCTCATTTTTCTCATCTGCAAAATGACAGCAAGGATATTCATCTAGAAAATTCCTAGAGATACAAATGCAAATGGCAGCTATGCAGTGGACACCATTGTTAGAACATGGCCAAGGGTGAGGAGGAAGCAATGAGGTTAAGACTCCATAGCTGAAGACTAATCTCAGCTGATGGCTGTGGACACAGAGTTTTCAGAATCTGTATCAGCAAGATGGCCCTGGGAACGTTCAGCGCTCAGTCATTATGTCCTGGTTTCAGAATTCCAAGCAATAGGTGACTGTCTTGAGGTTCCATGGTTTCTAAAGTTTCAACTCAGCCTCTGGGGAGGAGGGAGGGAGAGAGAGAGAGAGAGAGAGAGAGAGAGAGAGAGAGAGAGAGAGAGAGAATGAATGAATCTCTGCACCCTCCCTTCCCTTTTAGTTGGGGAAGTGAGAAGATGAAGAGAGAGGAAATGAAGTAGAGCAAACACCCATAATGTCAGTTGTTTTAAGGTCAAATCTCAGGGTTGTTAACATGTAAGACACTGGCATACTGGGTTTACTGATGGATTGGCTGCGTGACTTCAAATTAAAATGTAGAGTTTAGGGTTGCAATTTTAAGTTATAATAGTGAAGACATATTCACTTTTATTTGTAAAGTCTTTGAACTGTGTAAGAGAACTTGAATTTTCCTATATTTATACATTTACTTTATTAGTTTGACAGTAATTGTTAAAGAAAGTTTTGCTTGCTAGGATTTAGACTTGCTTGGTCAGCATTAGGAGTATGTAAAAATCAAATCCTTTCAATTTATAAAGGCATTTCAAGTACTTAGGATGATTTAGCTGAGTTTGTAAGAAGATCTAAGTGAATTGGATTTAAATCCTTGCTTTGTCATCTATGGGCTTTGTCGTTCTCAGTAAGTGAAATGCTCTTTGAAGCTGAGTTTTCCCACCTATAAAATGGACAAATCCAAAGGCTAATAAAGAGAGTCATTGAATGTGTTACTGAAAAACACACGTGAAAGCCATTTGGGGTGAAATAATATTTCTTGTAGGCAGAATACCTCCGTGTGCAACTCCCTCTAGATTACACTTTTTTTTTTTTGTACCAGGGATCGAACTCGGGTACTTGCGCTTGCGCAGCAGGCAGCGAAACCACTGAGCCAAATCCCCGGCCCAAGATTACACTTTTTATTCTGAGATAACTCCAGATTCCCCTGCAGTTGCAAGAACTAATACAGAGATCTTCTAAACCTTCTACTCACTTTCTCCCAATCTCAGAATCCTACAAACTGTAATTATAATTGAGTTCACACCTTGAAATCTGTATTCCCATCCACAAAGGTGAATTTGTACATCTCCATAATCTGTACTTTCTCTTTTTGAAGGGACCGTATTTTTTCATACCTATAGAGGTTTCTTTGTGCTTCTCAAACCATCAGAGTATAGATTTTTGCAGCTGAGATTGCTTGAGCGGGTTGGGTGTCAGCACTGCTGATTCCACAGGGAAGCCCAGAGGTAGGCGAAGGGGTTTCGGGTGCCTTTAATATGAGGTGCTTTATTTCAGTTATATTTCAGCTGAACCCCAGCCCTTGGGGCATTGAGTTTATTGAAGTGTAAAGAACTACCATGGCACAGTGAATTCTATTTCTGTTTTCCTCAGTACAGTGGGGATAGTAATATTGGTTTCTTCAGAGTACTGTGGGACTAAACATGTCAATATAGACAGCAGACTTCATGCCGGGCCTGATGTGTAGTCAGAACTCAGAAAATGTTCATTACTCTTATTGTTCAGGATGATTGTATTTGGCCATGGTATTAAAATAGCTGTGATGTTATTCCTTTTAAAATTCTCTTTTAGATTAGGTCAAGGAAAGAGTCGCATCTTGGTAACCAATATCTCCTAAAAACCAATCTAGTATTTGCATATTTTCCCCTTTAACAGTGAGAAATGTCCCCAGATTAAAAGTTATCATTTGATACTTCCAGTGTTGCAGTCATTTATAAGTAAATTTACTTACATGATAAACAAGTGACTTAGGCAAAATAAATATTAAGTACATGGATATTGTAGCAATCACAGCAGTGCGTAGATTGTAGAGACCACACAACTAGTGTTCTCCAAGCTTTCAAGTTCTCTGCTAGTTCTGAGTTGTCAATGAGTCACCTAAAATTTTCTTTAACTGACCTCCTTTGATTCCGCAATTATTTTGTGAAGTCAATACTTAGCTTCAAAGAAAGAGAACTGCTGGCCAGTAGGGACAAATGGGTCTGGAAGACAAGGGGTGGAGCCACAGTCACCATCCAGGGTGAGCAGGCAATTGTCAAGGGCCGCAGCTGTTGCCACTGAAGCCCTTGGTTGCCAGATGTAACTCACATCTTCTGCCTCAGGGTGTGACTCACACACTGTGCTTTACAAAGCAGCTGCTATCAGGGTGTTTGGGGGCACTCTGTGGGGGTTGCTGCAGAAGCTCAGATTGCCCTTGTTCTATTTTCACAGCCTGCATGGCTGTTTACATGTGACCCCGGTCATCAGCAAACTTGTCTGACCACCCAAGTGCGTCCCACTAACCAATGCATTTGAAAGCACAGCTTTCTTCCTAAAGCCAAACTCTCCTATTCTTCTCTTGGTGGTGTTCCAGTGTCTCCTGGAGGGCTCTGTGCTTTTACTCCTGTCACTCACATGCCAGCCTTGTGACTGACTGTCACCTAATGTCTCTGAACATTACTGACCTTAGAGGCCCAAAGGTAGGCAGTGATATTTACTGAGAGCTACAGGCCATCCCCTGGGCCGGGCACTTTGCTTGGAAAATCTATATTTCACAGAGCCTTGCGGGGAGCATGTGAGAGGAAATGCAGTGACTCTTTGGAGGGGTTTGCAGTGAAAAGATGCAGCCTAATTCCCATCATACCCTAAAACGATTAAAAATTGTAAACTAGAACTACAAGGACACTGAGATATAAAACCCCAATTTCTAAAGAGACCAACATCACTAAGCTGGCCACTCAGTGGACTCATGGGATCTAGCAGCAGAGGGACTCCCAGGGGATCAAGGGAGCATTATGGTAGGGATTGGATACGTGGGCACAGATGGATAAGGGTGTGGGAAGTGTTTGTGACATGTATTCCTAGAACCTGGTTCCTCTGGGCTCCTAGCCCTGGCTCCACATGATCTTCACCTGGGGGAGCCGTAGAAATGCTCAAATCTCACCTGAGTGCTATTCCAATAGAGGCTGAGGATAGTACGTTTGTAAAGCTTTCTGGTCATTTTAAAGTGGGGACGAGAAACACTGCACTAGAAGGTCTAGCTGCTGTTTATACAGAGCAGGGTTCCAGGTTCCTCATTCTACTGTGTACAGATGGGAAATGCCAGGTAGCTGTCTCTCCTCCTTCCTACTCAATCATAGGTGTCATCCTAGGCCCTTCACAGAGATCATATACCTCCTCATCACAAGTTCATCACACAGGGGTGTGGTTTTCTTTTCATAAATAAAAACAGCAGGATTCAGAGTTGTTAAGGAGCTTTCTGAAATTATACAGCTGGAATTGACTCTAGTGATTTCAGCCCTGTTCTACTGGGCCCCAGGATCCTGTCCTTTTCAGTGTGAAGAAACAGAAAGCTTTTTCTCACCAAACAACCTCCTCACCTATGGTATCTTTTTAGTCCTATTTTCTATCTCCTTACTTCTCTGCAGGTTGACCAGTTCTTAATGTATTAAGCTATTTGATCTAAAGTTTTCTGGAGAGGACACTGTATTTCCAGTCTTGATGGAACCATTTCCTAATGTCACTTCCTCTCAGTCTCTCCCTCTTTCAAAGTGGAAATCATGGCAGAGCAACTCTGAAGCCTCCTCCTATGGTTAGGTGCCTTTGGAAGCTGCAGAAGGAAACACAGATTTATCAGACACCGACAATTGGGTACATCAGGCACCATGCCATGCAATGCAGACACCATGTGAGTTCTTTTGGGGTGTAAGAATCAAATCAGAATTTGGGTGCATTGTGTGGGGTTGAGAAACGCTCAAACAGAAAAGACCTCAAGGTCAAAAATGTGCAAGAAATATTAATTACAAGTCAGTGCTGCTAAGCATTTTAGGGGAATCATCTCATTTAATTTTCACAGTTGCCAATGAGGCAGGTAGGTGGTAAGTGTTGATATCATCCTTCCTTTAACAATGAGAAAACTTTGTCTTCAGAAAACATCGGTATGGGATTTTGCAGGACTTACTGAGGCAGAATTTCTTCCCTTCCATGCAGAAAGCTTTCAAATCTGTTACCCTTGGCTCTGGGGGTACCCATGCTACTCACAGATGACAGTACCAGCCCTTTCCCAGGATGTCACAACCCAAATTCTCTCCAGACATTGGTAACTGTCCCCTAGGGCAGGAGGGGGAGCTCACCACTGTCCCCAGTGAATTAGGGCATAAATTTCCATCAGGACAGTTTGAACCCAGCCTTGAGGATCCATCCTCTTTCCTGGGGGCTGCAGAAGAGGACATCCGACAGGAGAGAGGACAAGGACAGTGCTGTTTGGAAGATGTGTGCTTGTTTGAGAGTGTGAAAGATGAAGAGATGAGAAGAGACACTTACCAGACAATTAGGAGGGAGAATTAGACAGCATTTAAGGCTATTTAATGCCCCCTCCCATCAGAACCAGTGATGAGTGGGTCTTCCACACAGCTCAGAATCCTGAATTTCTGTACTCCTGAGAACACATCTCAACTCAATCACTGTTACACCTCCACCTGCCAGTCCATCCTGCAGCCAGAAACAGTCACTCCTTCTGTGCAGGATTAAGAAGGAAATGCCACGTTCTGCTCTGACTTCCAAAAAAAGGCAACTTTGGTAATTTAAACTATCGTTGGGGGAAAACTACTGACTTGAGTTAGTCACATTTTGTGATTAGCATCAGCTATCAAACACCCTATACACTGTTCATGGGAATTCAAATTCCCATGGAATCCCTCAGTGCCAGTAGGCTGGTTTTGCAATATTTATTTGTCAAAAAGGCAATAATGTTTTTGACAGAGGAGTTCTCAGGCAGAGCTGTATTTCTCCAGCCCAAGCGGTGGTGGTCCAGGATTGGTCTGAGAATGGTTGGAACATCTTTCTGGCTTTTACATACAATATCCTGATTCCTCCTGGCATGGAACAGTTTCTTCAGTAACTCAGGCCTCAAAGGAGCAATTCTTTCAATAGCACATTTTATTCCAAAACTCTATTTTCTGGGAAGTATCAAACTACAGGTTTCTAAGACTGTTTTCCCTCCAGGAGTAACTGGCCCTCCTTGGCCCAGGGGGAGCTTCCCCTATCCTCCTGGGGAAGCCTCTTCAGGGAGGTGATTTCCCCCCGTCTCTTCCTGGGCACTGCCCAGTAGCAAGGCCAAGTCTCTCACCTGGGCTCCCTCTGGCCTTCTGGGAAGGTGTGCTGCTGCAGGGCAGGTGTGTGGCTCTCCCAGGGCAAGGGAGGCAAGGGCTGGTACTTCTTCAGGACGGTGGGCGGAGGCCTGTGTGGAGAGTCACAGCAGGGCTTAGCAGTTGGTTGGACAGTGTGCTCCTCACCCCCTGAATGCATCCTGCCTGGCCCTCCCTGTCCCAAGTCTGGGCTGGAAACAGTTCTGCGATGCTCACTAGTTTACTGAGCAGCCTAATCTGTCTCAGGCAGCCTCAAGGGTTAGTGTGTTTCTTTTTCTAGCAAATCTAAATCGACCTCCCTGAAGCCTTGCTCTTTGGTTGGGTGCTGTTTTCCAGAGGGTGACACACTTCTCCATAGGGTCTCATATGCTTTTCAATATGGCGCCCATTTGAGTTTTAGGAGGCCTGGGAAAAAGAGAACAATAGCCTTCTGTCTATCGCAGGTCAGGAGAGTTGAATTTTTAAAGCTCCTCAAGGAAATATGGAAATGTTTGGAAGTCAAGAAAGACCAGCTCACCAGTTCATTTCCCAGCTCAGCCATTCATTCATAAAGCGTATCTAGTACTGTGGTAGACACTGAGGATGCAGAGAGGAAGAGAACACTGTGCTTGGCTCAAGATGCTTCCAATGGGAGGGAAGAGAGAGAACTGAAGAAATGAATTGCAGAAGTGGGACAGATGCCATGGCAGAGGAACACACAGGCCCCAGGAGAGCAGTGGAAGTGGCCAACACACTAAGCACCTCACTAGCTCCTTGCTGCTCTTGTTTGTGTCTACATATAATATTATTTGGTTTTACACATGTATTATATATAAATGTATGTGCTTATATGAAAATATATTTATATACTGTAAATCTCTTAAAATCATATACAGTCATTATATATAGTCAACTTATATATAGGCATTGACTCACTGATTATTGACTTGTTGATATATAGAGAGATAAGGTCAGCCCAGTCTCTTCTGAATTTGAGCATGATAAATATATACCTATCAATGATCTGGCAGATTTCCCTGCTAAAAGAAGGGAGAGAAACAGTAGGGAATTGCTGTTGGCAATGTAAACTGGCACAACCACTATGGAAATGCTCAGTAAACTAAAAACAGAAGTTTCGTTTGTCCCAGCTATCTCCATTCTTGGTATCTTCCCCCAAAGTTACGATTATCATATGACAAGGGTCCATGCACACCCATGTTTATAGTAGGACAATTTCCAATGGCTAGATCTTAGAAGCAGCATATATGTCTATCAAAAGATGGATGGGAAAAGAAAATGTGGTATGTACACTCAATGGAGTACTGCTCTGCCATAAAGAAAGATAAACTTGAAGAAGTGGTAGGTAAGTGGATGTAACTTGAGAACATAATATTAAGTGAAATAATCAGACACCCAAGCTTTTTTTCGTTTTTTGTGTTTTGGTGCCAGGAATCAAACTCAGGACCTTGTGCTTGCCAGGCAGGCACAGAGCAAGCTTAGATATCACATGGTTTCTATTATATGAGAAGTTAAAAGAAATATATATATACACAAACACAAATAAGAGCAAAATAGAAGATAGATAAATGGGAAGTAGAGAGTTCAAATAACTCCCTAAATTACCTATTCCATTGTTTCAAAATATTTTAATATCTATGGTAATTTATTACATTTGTACTACTAATTTCTCTTAGTTCATTGAAAAGAAAGTTTTGTGCTATTATCTGTTTCTTCTCTGTAAGAGAGAATTTTTTTCTCCATATCTTGTATTCTGAGTAACTACCTTGAGAAAATGATACACAGTGTATTGACTATTATCATTTTCTTATTATTTTGTTGTGAAATTTTTTCTTTTTTCATAAAAAAAGAAATGAGGTGCCTCATTTCTTTGAGCACCTGAACTCTACTCTTGAGTGCGTCCTATAGCTACCTCTAGTAAATCCTTCTCATGCCTCTTTTAAAATAGATAAATAAATACATAAATACATAAATGAATGAATAAAGCAAATGATGCCTATATTAGTTAAATGTGAGTGAATGACTAAATGAATGAATGAAGGCTTGCCATTGGTCAGTTCTTTACTTTTTCAGTGTCAAATGTTTATATTTCTTCTTTTCAAGTGCTGGCACATATCACTTAGGTAAATAGCAAAAATACCTGCATGATTTTAAATGTCTTACCTAGGAGGTGGTAAAGGGGTCTGTAAAAAAAAAAAAGAATCAGAAATTACATTTGTTGTTCTTTGAGCAGTGCCAATGCTAAATTTTTTTGGCTTACGAATGGAAATAATAAATTATGACCAAGCTCCTAGGGCATATTTTTAAAATCATATCTAAGCTTTTACCTCATCCACAATTCTATGATTTTAAAGGAAAGAATAACAAACATGTTCTAATTATTTCTCTTACCTTGTTTTCCTGTATGGGTTTGTCCCCTAAAAGATAAGAAGGAATACTATGAATTTATGGAAAACATTGTCAAGCACTATTCTTACATTTGTGTAAAAGGAAATGATTCCTACTTATGATTCTGATTAATATTTAATCAGGTTAATGATATTTTAAAGATCTATTAGGTGCCAAATATGATGCTAAACATTTTGGTTTTGTGGTCTTATTAAACATCCTTGTTTTGTGAAATTCAGGCATGAGAAAGTTAAATATTTTACCTATAGTCACCCAACTAATAAAGGGCAGAATTAAAATTTCATCACATGTAATGTGATAACTCAGGCCCTCTCCTAATCACTGGCTCCTATTTAAAATTAACATTCATATATGCCTAATCATAATATTTAATATTAAATATGGAAAAGGCATTTATCAAGAAATGAGTAAAATTACATTGAGTAGGTAATACTTATATATCCCATTATACATATATTTTATTTCATTTTATGCATATGTATATAATTAATTCAAGTTCCTTAGGGTACAAAATCAACATTAAAAAAATGCAATAGCTTTTCTGTACACCAATAATGAACTAGCTAAAAAAGAAATCAGGAAAACAATGCCATTCACTATAGGATCAAAAAAAAAAAATCTAAGAATCAACCTAAGGAACTGAAAGACTTCCACAAGAAAAATTACAGAACAGCAAAGATAAAAATTAAAGAAGACATTAGATGATTGAAAGACCTCCCATGCTTATAGATAACTGGTATTAATATTGTTAAAATGGCTACCATACCAAAAGCAATCTGCAGAATCACTGTAATCCTCACCAAAATCCCAATGACATTCTTCGCAGAATTAGAAAAAAAAAATCCTAAAATTTATATGAGAACACAAAAGACTCAGAGTAATCAAAGCAACCCTGAGTCAAAAATCAAGGCTGGATGCATCACAATAGCAGGTTTCAAATTGTACTACAAAGCCATAGTAAAAGAAACTGCATGGTACTGGCACAAATACACACACATGCCTGTAGAATAGAGGACACAGAAACAAACTCATGCAACTACAACCATTTTATTCTGGACAAAGAAGCAAAAAATACACATTGGGAACGAGACTGCCTCTTTAACAAATGGTGCTGGGAAACCCAGCTATTTGTGGAAGGTTAGAACTAGATCATCATCTCTTACCCTCTACAAAAATCAATCCAAAAGGGATTTTATCCCTTATACTTAGGTCCCAAGTGCAAAACCTGAAATTTTGAAACTGATAGAAGAAAACATAGGGGAAACACTTGAAGCCATAGGCAGAAGTAAAGACTTCTCGGATAGGACTTGAACAGCACAGGAAGTAGGAGCAAGAATCAATAAAAGGGGCTACATCAAATTAAAAAGCTTCCATACAGCAAGGGAAACAACCTACAGAGCAAGGAGACAGTCTACAGAATGGGAGAAGATCTTTGCCAGCTACTGCTCGGATAGAGGATTAACATCTAGAATATATAAAGAGTTCAAAAAACACCAAAAAATCAAATAGCTCAGTCAATAAATGGGCAGGTGAATTGAATGAACGCTTCTTAAAATGAGAAGTACAACCGACCAAGAAATATGTGATAAAATGTTCAACATCTTTAGCCACGAGGGAAATGAAAATCCAAACTACCCTGAGATTCCATCTAACCCTGGTCAGAATTGCTGTCATCAAGAGCACAGAAAACAATAAATGCCAGGGATGATAGGTGTGTAGGGAAGGAAATCTTCTACACTTCTGGGGCAATGTAAATTAGCACGGGGACTATGGAAATCAGCCTAGGTTCCTTACAGAACTAAAAATAGAACTGCCCATATGGCCTAGCTATCCCACTCTTGGTATTCATGTGAAATAAGTCAAGTCAACACAGTGTAGGTGTATCTGCACACTCACATTTATTGCAGAGGAATTCATAATAATCAAGAGAAGGAACCAGCCTAGGTGTCCATCAACAGATGAACAGATAAAGAGAATGTGGCTGTTATACAATAGGGAGAATTATTCAGCTGTAAAGAAGAACCAAATTATGTCATTTCCAAGAACATTTATGGAACTGGAAGATCATCGGGTTAAGTGAAATAAGCCAGACTCAGAAAGACAAACATTGCATGTTTTCCTTAACACATGGAATTTAAAAAAGATGACATGAAAGCAGAAGGCGAATATTGTTAGAGGAAGGTATAAGGGGAAGGGAGGGAGAGAGTACGGGGAGAGTAAAAGGGAGGATCGATATGATCAAAACGTATGCATGTATGAAAATAACACATTGAAACCCAATATTTTATGAAATTAATTAGGCACTAATAAAATATATTTTAAAAAATAATTCAAGTTCCGGTCTAGAAACTTCATGGAGTATTTCTAAGCACAGAAAAATACCATTACAGTACTTTCAAGAGAAAAGGGTTTTTGAAGACTCCCAAATCCAAGTTCCTTATTTTATGGATCAGAGAGTAAGAATGAAGTAGGTAGAACAGTATCAACTAACCCTAGAAAAGGCCCAAGTGAGGTCTGGTACAAATTTTTCTGACTTCGAGGTACTTTTATTTCCAAGATTCAGTTCCATTCAAAGATAATTCTTGAGCTGCACTGAGGACAAAGAGACAAACGTGACACTATCCTTCCCCCAGGGCCCAGGGCTGTGCAGGGCATGCAGCCACGGAGATGACTGTCCCTGCCACTGAAGGGCCCACTCCTAAGTAGCGGACATGCACAGAAACCATCACAAAAAATGCCAGAATTTCAAGAACCAAAAGAGGGGTTAAAGGGGCAGATGGAGACTCACTCCAGGGCACCTGGGAGCCTGCAGGAGCCCCTTGGGAAACTGTACTTCTCAGTGGAGCTGAGGGGGAGGGCGAAGGGTCATTTTCATGGTGCTGTGGGTGAAGGCACTGGGAAATGTGTGTCTCTCGTCTTGGGAGCCTTGACTCTCCTTTCCAGACTGGCCTGGTGGGCACACTCTCAGCTGGGTTTCCTCATCTGTGACACAGTGAGTTTGGACTGAGTCAGTGCTTTTTTAAATCTATGTTTTTTTTTTCGGTACCGAGGGTCGAACTCAGGACCTTGCACTTGCAAGGCAGGCATGTTGCCACTGAGCTAAATCCCTGACCCCAAAGTCTATGGTTTTAACTATGTTTCAGACATTCCCTTGGGAACCTCAAGGACCTGGGGTCTAGGGCCTGGCCTCCAGCTCCCTGCCCCACGTCCCTGCAGGCTCTGCTTCAGCCTGTTTCCCATACACCTCAGATTTCTTCTGATCAGAGGACCAGCTGGCCCTCAACAGCACAAAATTGTTGTGGCAAACAGAACAACTCATTGCTATAGCCAAGTGCTACAGCTATTGCAATTTGCAGACTGGAGAGTGCGAACATCACTCGAAGAGGTGGAGAAAAACTGTTCATTACGCCAGCAGGCTCAGAGGAGTCAGAAATGGGAGCCTCCTTATATAGGGGGCCTAAGGGTAGGTGAGCATGCTCACAGAAGCAAGGGGGCAGAGTTACAGAACATTCTTGAAAGGGGCGCAGCTAAGGGAACATTCCTGAAAGGTCAGGCAGTTCAAAGAGCTACAAAATATTTTGATACATTGGGCAGGAGGCTGCTCAGAAGAGCAAACATTTACATTTCTGGAACAAAACATTTTGTGGAAAAAGACATGGAGGCAAGGCATGGGAAAGGCAAGGACTTGTCTTGTATATAGCATTGGTCTATCAAAATGACACAACACAACACAACACACGCCGGTCCGGAGGACTTTAATGGACCATCCAGGTCTAAAATAATAAACTCATGGGATAAAATCACCACTCTCGTTATTATAATTTCAATTTTGAAAACACTTCTATTATTTTATTTTAATATATGTAGATATTAGTAAAGAAAATACTAAGAAGCACTCTTTCTACTTCTGTAAAAAAATTTCATAACAAAATAAGTAGAGAACAATAGTTAAGACACTGTGTACCATAATCTTAAAAGAAAGGCCAAAATGTGACTCAGAGTACAAGTCAGAGACCAAAAAAAAGATTCTCTGACAAAAAAGAAACAAACAGATAATAGCACAGAACTGCAAAATAGAAGACAGAGAAATAGGAAGTAGGGAGAAGTTCAAATAGTACCCCAAATTTTCTATTCTGCTGTTTGAAAAATATTTCAACATATATGCTAATCTGTGTCCCTTATGCTACTAATTTCATAGTTCATTGGCATGAAAACACTTTCAAATGAGTAGAACCAACTTCTTAATGAATTCCAAACACCAAGTACAAACAGAAACATCAGATGTTCTTGACGTTGTAAAAACTCAAACACAACCCATGATGGACTTCAGCAGTGGCAGCGGACCTAACGCTGCATCTTTGTCAATTTAATGATGTCACAAAAACTTAGGCCACATGGCAGTTGCTTAAGGCACTAAGTTGGAGCACATAAAATTAATTTCCCCTTTTCTTTTTTCTTTTGTACCGGGGATCGAACTTCGGTCCTTGTGCTTGCGAGGCGGCAGAACCACTGAGCTAAATCCCCTGCCCTAATTTCCCATTGCGTATTGGCGTCACCTTCGGCGTTTTCTGGGGTGGCCTTGGAGCTCCTGTTGCTAACTTGCCCTGGGAAGTGAAATGATGGCCTTGGGCAAAGCCACTGTTACATCTGCTGTGCCCCAATCAATCCAGTGCACAAGGAAAAATATTCAAGGAGGGTTCCTGTAATTCAACAGGAAAGCCCCTTTCATTGTCTTAGAGATATGTGTTCTGTCTGCTCCAGGCGCTGCGAGTACAGGAAAGAACATCCACCTATTTTTTATTCATTGACTTATTGTGGAGCACACGGTACATTTTTAATGTAATTATCGTGGTGTTAGAGACTAACACCGAGGAATGAAGTGGCTGTTCGCCTGTTCTCCCATTCCGGTGGCAGATGACAGAAAATACATAAGCCAAAGTATAAACAAGGAAATCATGCAGGAGACAAGTGTTGCAAAGACAAGGAAGGAAGCAGGCAGGCCGGGGAT